TTATATCCATTGAGTTATATGTACCAAAATTAATAATTAAAAAGCTGAAGGTACTCCGGGTTAACTTTGACATCGGGACGTCAATCACCTCAGTCCCCCGTGACCACGGTTGCTGGAAAGCAACCGAAACGTCGGGAATATAAAATAAGTTAATTAAACGCAATAAAATCCGTAAAAATAGTTTTATTCAATGTGTAGTGTTCGCGTAAATATAAGAAAACATTATATGTACTACTTACTAGAGAAGCCATTCCAAACAAAAATTGTGTCCTACTCTATGTCTTCGCGCATGCGCGGGAGTAGTAGTCGCGCATGCGCGAAGACTTTAATTTGATATAAAATAAGATATTAAGCCGTGTAGTGGCGGTTAAGAATATCCACTACCCCATATCTTCCCGTGGGTGTCGTAAAAGGCGACAAAGGAATACAGGCAGGAGATGGGCAGCAGCATCTTCCTGGTAACGGCAAAAATACAATAAAAAAACTACGGTTGCCAACCCGCTCGCCAAGCGTGGCAACTATGGCAATATACCCCCCATGATGAAAGTTACGAAGAGACGGCCCCCAGTCCCCGGCGGCCCCGCTATTCCTGTCTACGGTGGCGACCATGGTAACGGCGGGGCAGGGGGTGCTAAGAATCTCCGGTGGAGATTCGGTTGCCACCTACGACGATTCGACCTGGCAACATACAACGCACGCACCCTGAGGACTGACGAGAAGATTGTGGAGCTGGAAGAAGAGATAGACAAGTTACGCTGGCATATTATAGGATTATCCGAAGTCCGAAGAGAGGGGGAGGAAACGGTAATCCTCGAATCCGGCAACTTGCTCTATTACCGGGAGGGCGACCATCTGTCCCAAGGAGGTATCGGATTTATCGTCCACAAGTCTCTCGTTAACAACGTTGTAAAGATTGAGAGTGTGTCGACGAGGGTTGCGTACCTTATACTCAGAATCACCAAACGGTATTCGCTGAAGGTCATACAGGTTTACGCACCAACCTCGGCACACCCCGATCAGGAGGTGGAGGAAATGTATGAGGATATCTCTAGAGCCATGCATTCCTCCAAAACCCAATATACGGTGTTAATGGGAGACTTCAATGCAAAACTAGGCACAAGAGAGAACGGTGAGCTAAAAGTGGGAAAATTTGGAATAGGGCAATGGAACCCAAGGGGCCAGCAGCTGGCCAACTTCATGGAGAAAGAGGGACTCTTTATGATGAACTCTTTCTTCCAGAAGCGGCCCCACAGGAAGTGGACCTGGTCGAGCCCCGACGGGTCGACAAAAAATGAGATTGACTTCATTATGACGACCAGACGACAACTGTTCAGTGATGTCTCAGTGATCGCGAGGGTGAAAACCGGCAGCGATCACCGAATGGTTAGAGGCACACTGAACCTAAACGTTAAGTTGGAGAGGTCTCGTCTAATGAATTCAACGCTCCGTCCCCCTCGTGCTCTAATCCAAAGTCCCGAAACCTTTCAGCTCGAGTTACAAAACCGTTTTCAGTGCCTAGAAGACTGCAATGAAGTGGACGATTTGAATGACAAGCTCGTGGAAACTGTCCATGCGGTCGGAGCTAAGTTCTGCAAGACCCGCCACAGAAGAACACAAAAACTCTCCGATCACACTCTTAATCTCATGGCTGTTAGACGGGAGATGAAGCTACATTCTTCAACAGATTTGACAGCATACAGGCAACTGAACAGACAGATCTCCAAATGCATGCGGTGGGACTTACGCAACTTCAATACAACTCGTATTGAAGAAGCGATCGAGCGGAACCAAGACTCCAAAGTCTTTGCCAGAGATCTGTCTGCCAGAAAGAGCCAACTGTCAAAGCTGAAGACCGAGTGTGGCAGCATCGTTTCCGGGGCACCTGAGATTTTGAGTGAGATTGAGAGGTTCTATGGGCAGCTGTACACGTCATCGTTGGAGCCGCACGCAAGTGTGAGTAACGATCCAAGAGCGAGTCTTATCCGACATTATTCCGATGATATCCCGGACGTCAGTCTGAGCGAGATTAGAATGGCTCTCCAGCACCTTAAAAACGGCAAGGCCCCAGGCGAGGATGGAATTACAGCGGAGCTTCTGAAAGCGGGTGGAAAATCGGTACTTGAAGTCCTTCAGAAGCTCTTTAATTCCGTCCTCCATGGTGGCATTACACCGGAGGCGTGGAGCAGAAGTGCGGTGGTCTTGTTCTTCAAGAAAGGTGACAACGCTCTCTTGAAGAACTACAGACCGATTTCCCTTCTGAGCCGCGTCTACGTGCTGTTTTCGAGAGTCATTACGAATCGTCTCGCGCGCAGACTTGACGACTTCCAGCCTCCCGAACAAGCCGGTTTCCGAAAAGGCTTTAGCACCATAGACCACGTACATACCCTTCGGTAAATTGTACAGAAGTCCGTAGAGTACAACTTGCCACTATGTTTGGCGTATGTGGACTATGAAAAAGCCTTTGATTCCGTCGAAATTTGGGCGGTGCTGCTGTCCCTTCAGCGATGCCAAGTTGACTGTCGGTATATCGAAGTGTTGAAGCTAAGCACTATGCTCAATGACCTCAATAGTGTTTCCCAACGGATAGGTCTTAAGATGAACATGGACAAAACAAAGATCATGTTTAATGTCCATGTCACACCTATGCCGATAGTTGTTGGGAACACTAAGCTCGGATTCAACTCGGTTGGGCAGCGTTCGGGAAATTACGACACATCTTCTCGTCAGGTATACCTCAAAACTTGACAACGAGAATGTACACCCAGTGCGTGTTGCCAGTGATGACATACGGAACTGAGACGTGGTCCTTCACTGCTGGCCGGATGAGGAAGCTCAAGGTCGCTCAGCGAGCTATGGATAGGGCTATGCTCGGAGTTTCTCTGCGTGATAAACTCAAAAATGAGGATATCCGCAGTAGAACCAGTAAGCTGAAGTGGCAATGGGCCGGCCATATAGTTCGAAGAACCAACAACCGATGGGGAAGAAAGGTTCTCTAGTGGCAGCCTCGTACCGGCAGGCGAAGTGTAGGGCGTCCCCCCACTAGATGAAGCGACGACCTGGTAAGATATGCAGGAAGTCGATGGATGCAGGTGGCTCAGGACCGTGCTTAGTGGCATTCTTTTGGGGAGGCCTATGTTCAGCAGTGGACTTGTCAAGGGCTGTTATGATGAAAAAATGATGAAGATATTAATATAAAATAAATATAAGAACTTAATATAGAATATCTTAATTTAATCTAAACAAACATATTTATACGTGGTAGAGCCATGCTGCAGCTATATTATGGTTGTAGCACGAATGGGTCGGCTCGATCGGGGAAGGACCACGCTCTCACAGAATGCCAGCGTAAAATAGCAGCTTAACACTGCTGTGTTTCGTATGGTGAGTATAGAGAACCGGAGACCCTTTTCACTGGAAACGAGGCATTCCATCTTAGTCCTCACGGGTGACAACGCATCTGCATTTTGATTCTTAATCGAAGATAGATGTAGATGTCTATGGGCCACAGCAACCACTTACCATCAGGTGGACTGTGTGCTCGTTTGTCACCCTTATTCTATAAAAAAAAATATATTTCTAAATAAAATGCAATAATAATTATCTTATGGAATTTACAATTCTTCAATTTACGCAATATTTAGTTTGTATGGATTGCACTACAGTTCAGTTGAACATAGTCAATGTTCGGAATGGCTTCTCTAGTACGTAGTACATATAACTCAATGACTATTTCGCCCCAATTTTCGGGGTGAATCGGATCGTACTCAATATGTAACAAAATTTTAAGTTTCTTACCACTATAGCTTTGGAATCAGTAAAAAATTAGTCCTTTTCTTCCCCCCCCCCCCCCCCTCCTCTCATATCAGCACATTTTTCGTGGCACCATTCTTCGCAGGCATTGCACCGAATCCAATCCTCTGATGGTGGATGAGTATAGTATTAAAGAATTCTGCCACTTTTTCCTTCTTCATACCATCAATCCTTGCTCTTGATAGACCCTCCGGCTTCCGAATAGTTAATTTTTTATTTCTTTGCATGAAGCGATAAATTCAAACGCGTACTTACGTACCGCTTTGGGTGTAATTCCGAAGCCACGACTTACCAAATTCAACTCTTTGTTCTAGACTTTATTTACAGCCTATTTCATTTTTTCTTGGGACTATTCTCCGGCATCAGTCTTTCTTTTGTACGTGCGAACCATCCACAATCAAATAAATATGAATCAATAACCTCAAACATGTAATAAATCAGTTTAAAAGTGTGATCCAATTCGCCCCTGACGAAATGATCCGATTAGCCCCATAATCACGACTTTTGAAATAAATATTTTAGAAGTTAACCTCTAAGATCATAATTAATAGCGAATTGGTTCTCTAATATAGACAGCTTGCTTAACAATATAAACCAATGTAGTTGACTTTTAACACAAATTTGTAATATGACACAAAGAAATCGTAAGTACGAGCCTACCTTAGATGAGCGCTAAAATTGCGACACACACAAACGACCGAGTCGCGGTGGATTGCTGCTCCTGTATTATTGTTTAAATAATGGTTTGAAGTAGATTTTGATATGTAAAAGTGGTGCGATTTTGTGTATTAAGTGTCTGCGCATGTGATCTATTAGTGGAAACGGTGAAACAAGTGCTCTAATGGTGATGTGATTCTCATGATAAGGTGTCTGTCCGCTTAGGAGCCCTAAGATACCATCATCAACTGTCAGCTGTCTGCTGGCTCAAGTTGCGGTTAAAATCTTTCAAGGGCTGCACAATGTGACGCATCAACATATTGTGAAGCAGTGTACTATGAACGATAAATAAACATTGTAACTTCAGGCTCAGAAGGGCTAGAACCCAGAGCCGTAAAGCCAGTTATAAAAAAAGCAGTGAAGTGATGAAGTAAATAAATTTTTTAATACTATTAGTGTTCTGTGCTATATAGTTCATAGACTAATATATAATACTGGAGAATATAGTTTGTGAAATAAATCTTGTAAGCAGCAATCATAGATAAATATATATGTAGCAAGCTAGCAGCAATTGTGAGCAATTGATTATAAAATATCTTAAAGTTTGATACCACTGCATTTTTAATTCATATTTGAATCGTTGAAATTAATAAATACTGGGATCGTTAGCAAAGAATATATAAATCACTACGTTTAACATTAGGAAATCTGTTTTTGTTCTTCGTTTCACGTTCGAAAATAATGTTTTGTCTTACATTGTTTTTAAAATAAAAATAAATGTACAGCGTTTCTGATATAGATGTAAGCTTAACGAATTTAAAATTATTATTTTTAGTTTATGTACATCAATGATATTAATGTATTTTTATATTTTTTAAAACTTATAGAATAAACGAGTTATTATACAACCAACAGCAAGAAAGAGTATCCACAGTCATTGTGGTAATTGTCCGTTTTTTCGTATAGAGGGTATGGGGAAATATGGGCTGGATAATAAAAAAAATCATAGAGTTTTGGAGAGGTCTCATCCCAAGCATAACTTATCATCAAACGAAGATCAGGGTGTAGATGAAGTTGACAATGTTATGAGGTGAGTTTTTATAACAACGGTTACAAAGTGGTGCACAACAGTACAGTATGTAAAAATCTTATACCATACACTTTTTTTAATATCTGAACTAAATAAATAAATACATAACTTGTAATCATGCACACACGCAACTATTCAGAGCCCACAATAGTTGTTTAAATTTATAAACACTATTAAACTGTACCAATAAATAAAATTTTAGTATGGACAACAGAATCTTTTATTATAATAAATATATAATGAAAGAAGTGTCACTCCTAAACCTTTAACTATGTATAATTAATGTTAAAAACCCTTTAATACAGCTAATATTATGATTAACCCTGAATAAATATATTAACGAAAATTATTTGTAAAAAATATTTTTGAGGGTATGTTGCTGTAATCTTCATTTTAACATATACAGATGATTTTCTATTCTTACGTAAATATTGGCTAGTCAGATCAGATCTCTGTGGCCTCGGCTAGGATATTGTTAGATCCATATGTTTAGTCAATAAAATGTTAAAATTATTGTTCCAAACCATTATTTAATTTTTAGCAAGTTGTCCCATCATTCAAGCCCGAAGACAGCTACAAAAAAAACAAGAAGAAATTCTGTAGATGGCTTATACCAAAATAAGTACAGTAATGAATCTGATGATGAGTGAGTACAATATTCTTTGATAATAATACATTTAAAAGTTGCTTTTGAAAACATAAAGCTGAATATAATATTAAAGACAAACCAAATTATTATTAACAATAAAAATCTTACCATTACTGATACAGCCTATTAGAGTCAACTGCTGATTTTAGTAGATATTAGGAAGATGCTGCTGCCCGTCTCTGGATTTGTTTCCCTCTGTTGCCTCTTACAACAGCCACAGGTTGATATGGGGTAATGGATATTCTTACACTGCTATTACATAGTTGAAAACAAAATACTTGATATTTCCAAAATAGTCTTATTGTCTCCTCCCTATTTAATATCCTCATAAAAATTTTGTAAAATAGTTTATAAATGTAATAAGTTTTTATGTCTTAATTTATTGTGCTAGCTGTTTCTGTATTTTATTTCCATACATCTTAATCCTTAATAAGTTGTAAACCTTATGAGGCCTTAGTAGCCAAGGTACATTTAACAATTTTTATACTTCTCTTTTGGCCATTAAGAAATTATTAGGAATTTTAATGTTATGTTTTTATAGATTTCCTGAAATTATAAGCAGCAACAAAATAGTATATATTTTCCATTAAATTAGCATTACTAACAATATGTCTAAAAAATTGCAGCCATACCTCTTCTCATGTCTGAGAGGATTATGTAGCAATTATTTTGCTGCATTACTTCAGTGCACGTTGACAGACTTTACATATCCTTGATTTTTTCTGACATGTTGGTTTTTGCACTATGTTATTCTTCACCCATGACAGTGTATAATGAGTCAGCACTGAATGTCATTGGTGCTAACAGGGATCAGGTTGCTTGCATACTATTCAATTTCAACAAGTGATTAGTTCTTGAGCTACTATGGTCTATAAAATTCTAACACAGATTATTATGGGCTGATTTTGCAATTGTCAGATTAAAGTTATACATCAAAAATAAATTTTAACCTGACTGAATATAAAAGTGTAACAATTTAGCTATTTTATTCATTCAACTGGTTTTGTACTTTATGTAGTATTTTATCCTATCAATGAGATTAATATCTGACGATTGATGACAATCATATTGTAATTATTTGTTGTTATATCATCATACTTATGTATTCCTCATCATTTATATTACTAAATTAGTTTCTTCTTTTCGTTCGTTTAAGTTCATTCTTATATTACTAAATTAGTTACTATGTTACTTAAGACTTTCACTGTCTAGCTTTGAGACACAATAGTAAAGACCTATATGTAGTGCACAGGACAGTGAAAGGGTTAAACAATGTCAAATTTTGTTATAGAAATTGTATCTCATACAAATTTGATGGAACCTTTAATATTTATTCAACCTAGTGCTAGTCATTCTTAGTCATTTTTATATTTTTTCAGTACATTATCACAGTTTAAAGAGCTAATAGTTGTGAAACGCCGTCGTAGCATATATGCTAGGAGTTGTCACGAAGTTGGAAATAAAATAATTTTGGATATTATAATACTCATTATTATTTATTACCTATATTTACATACTTAATAAGTTAAAAATAATTATTGATCAAGATCAATTTTTATTACTACAAGAATAAATACATTTACAAGTGTTGCACTGTCAAATATTTTTGTGATACTTTCTTTTTATAGGTGTTTGCAGTATTCAATTGTTAAATTTAATTATCTACTGTTTTCTACACTTTTTAAAAAAAAACGTTACCCCCACACTAGGATTTTCTCCTGTATTGTGGAGGCAGTTTACAAACATAAATTGCACGAGGACAAACATCCAGATCCGGAACAATTATTTGTAGGCCATACAAATACTTGTTCCGTGCGGGATTCAACGTGGCCCCAACGCAACAACTCATTGCTAAGCTTTTATTATTCTAAGTTGCTAAGCCACTGCGCCACGGAGCTGTCGTATTTGGTCAAAGATTTTTATCAAAAAAAAAGAATTCAAGTTTACTTAGTAACTCATAGCACTATAACAGTAATTCACCATTATATATATTATATTTTTCAAAAACGGCACTTAAAATTAGTTAAATAAGTAGTATAAAAAACGCTCGCGTCAACAGCGTGTATTGTGCTGCTGCACTTTTACTGCGCTTGCACTATAGTATAGTGGAGTGCGCTGACACAAAGTCGCGCCGCCCCCTGCCCTGCAAGGCTCCTGCCGTTGCTCTACACAAGTACATTCGTTTTCCAACTGTTAGACTCTTTAAACTGTGACATTATCATCTCATAACCGCTTTGTTTATTGCTGAGTCATCCATATAAACATAATCACATGCCTATATGGCGCTTTATTTGCAAGCAACTCACAATAGTGTTATGAGCCGATAATGTGTGTTTTATTACAGCAATGTCCTTTCAAAGTCAACACCTGCAGTTTTTCAGTCACATTACCATTGCAGAGACGATTCCGATGATATTCCTGAGCTTAATTGTTTAGATGAAGAGAACCTTAATAGTTCTGAATCTCTTATATATGCCACACCACCAAGGATCAGAATTAATGAAAGTGATAACACCAATCAAAATATAACACCTTATAGTTTTCAAGAGCACACTAATGTAAACATCGAAAATAAGTCCAGCTATAAACAAATTTTACTTGTGTCTTTCATAATAGCAATTATTGCAATTGCTGGTTTTTATGGTGATATTTTAAGTGCAAATAATCAAATGAATCTAGTTATTTATGATAAAAATAACTTTGAAAATGAAATCACATATCTGGGAGAGAAATACAAAGTTACAGATGACTCCATATTACAGATTCAAACAGGTAAGAATACAACTTTTTCCATAGAATTTTGTTTTAATTAGTGAAATAAACAAACAAGCAGTTTCGTTATTTCCTTAATTTCATAGCTTTATTTTATAGCTGCGACATTAATAAGTTTAGTTAGATCTTTTCTCTCTAATGTTACGAAAGTGCTTATTATGGTAAATGGCATGAACTATGAGTGCCAGAAACGTTTTTAGTTAGGTATGTTTGGTGATGTGATGTGATGTGAAGTGGTGATGTGTTATACTTGGTAGAGCCATTCTGTTTCTGTTTCTGTTTCTCACAGAATACCAGTGTAAAATAGCTACTTAATGCTGCTGTGTTTCGTACGGTGAGTGTAGAGAACCGGAGACCTATTTTACTGGAAAAGAGGCATTCTATCTTAGTCCTCACGGCTGACAACGCATCTGCATTTTAATTTGTGAATGAAGATAGATGTAGATATCTATGGGCCACAGCAACCACTTACCATTAGGTGGACTGTATGCTCGTTTGTCATCCTAATTCTATAAAAAAAAAGAAATGAAGGGGATGGGGGGGGGGCGACAGCAATCACGCCAGTGAGTCACCCGATCAGTCAGTTAAAAAAAATTGTCCACCGCCCAAATTTGTACCTACAGTACGATGCAACCGCACATATCGCCTGATCAGTTTTGCCTCACAAAGTAGTGTGTAATTTAATTGTTCATGTAGTCATTGTTCATGTAGTATATATATATATATATATATATATATATATATATATATATGTGTGTGTGTGTATATATATATATATATATATATATATATATAATGGAATATTTAGATAATAATAGAAAATCAACTTCATTTATGCAAGTACTATTTATGGTTGGCAAGAAAAAAATTGTGGCTCTTTAAAAACATTGAAATTTTGTAATTGCCCACTTTACTGTAACTGTTGTAATTCTAAATAAGTGTAGGTGTATGTTACACCTAAAATGCTGATGCTGATAATATAAATAAAATATGCTGCTTGAGGTAATATGATAAATATATTTAAAAACTGCTAATAGCTAATAATGAGTACACGAACGCGCTCTGCGGCGATACTATGTGGACTGACTACATGAACAATTAAATTACACACTACTTTGTGAGGCAAAACTGATCAGGCGATATGTGCGGTTGCATCGTACTGTGCCTAAAGAGTGCGTAAAGAGCCGCAGCTTCACATCCAAAGAGCCGCATGTGGCTCGCGAGCCGCAGGTTGCCGACCCCTGGTCTGGGTGATTCATTGATTGTCATTGTTCTTTATGCATAGTTATTATAAATGCCTAAAATTTTCCAAAAAAAATTATTCTTACTTCCCTATGGATAAACATATCTTGTAGCATCAAGACTTAGTAATCAATCAATCAACAAGGCTTAGTAATTATGTTTCGAAACAAATAATTACTAAGCCTTATATTCAGAAATAATCTGGAGTTTAACAAATTTACAATGTTGAAATTTTTGTAACATAATAACTTTGACTCAACTTCTCACATTGAAGAATTTAAGTTTAAACAAAATTTGTCTCTAAATACCAACGAAAGTAGTGATTATTGCATATAATGATAAAACAATTTATAAAAAGAAACCCTTACATAATCTGGATAGTTGGATATTACCTACATACTGTCCATATATAAATTTTCACATTTAAAACAACAAATTTCTTCCAGGAATCTCTACAATATTCCAAAGACAAGATGCGGGATCTTTTATATTCGCATATAATAGTCAAAGCAATAATTTCAATCCTAACTTTCTGAATAATTTTCTTAATGATATTGCAATTGCTGCTGCCAAATATCTACGTAAGTATCAACACACAGCTTCCTATACTTTCTCTATAAAATTTTATCTTATTGCTAAAATAAAATTAAAATAATTCAAAAGCATAATATGAAGTCCGCCAATTAGTACTAAAGCAGCGCGGTAGAATCTAACGAATCGGAAGTATTTGTAACAGGTAAGTAACAAGTAAAAAATAATTAAAGCGCCTCTTCAGTATGTCTATGACAGTTATTAGTTATCTGTTATCTCAAATAAATACGTTTTCAGAAGGTTTTCAGTTCGACTGTAATGATTCGTCTGTCTGACTGTCAATTGCGAACCGATTTTAATGATTCTATTGTATTAAATCAGTTATTCAAGGATGGTACCATATAAATTTCGAAAGTGGTAAAGTTTTAAATGTAAATATTTAGGCATTTAGAGAAAAAAAGAACTTACATAAACTTTAAAAAGAAAGGCTTAAACTTAAAAAAAAGGTGTAAAGTGGCTTTAAAAAACTTAAAAATAAATCAATTTCTATACATAATAGAAACAGCTTGTGAAGGTCGTTGCTAAGACGTAGTTTGAAGTCTACCTTTACATTTTATTAGACGCTTCTTTTTTAGCCTAAAATCAAAGTCCCGGGAATTCCCGGGACTTCAAGACTTAAGAAAAAACATTTTGTGTTTTTCAAGATGGATAAGCCTTTTTTGAAGAATTTTTATTCAGTTAATTTCTAGTGAACCGTATTAAAAAGAGGCAATTGTTTGTAAAAATCAACATTTATTAAACAATTCAACAGAAAATTAAATAATATTAACGTTAATTTTGAGTATTAATAATTGCTTTGTATATTTCTTTTAGTCACACACAGATGCACTTCTAAACAGTTAAATCTTATAGTTATGAAACGAACTTGGTTAAAAATCATACAAATTCTTAATAACTTTATTATTATCTTGTAATTCTAGTATCTAATCATTGTTCATAATCTCATTGTTAATTCTCATAATCACATATTTGTTTAATTTATTGTGTTGCGTACTCAGTAGTTACGTAGTAGACCAAGTAATTATTCATTAAATTAACACATAGCGCTAGGTTCCTTCAATTATTTGAAAATAAAAATGATTACATAACAATTTCAACAATCTTGTCTCGTGTCGAGTCTCGACCGGAAAGTCCCGGGACTCGAGACAACTAAAATTACGAAAAGTCCCGGGACTTCGAGACACGAGACGTCCGGGATCCAAACCCTAATCGTAATGTAAGCGATTTTCGAAATTTTTTTTAATGAAAAATTAAAGCACGTACGGTATATTTACGGTAGGGTGAGTGGGGGGAAGATCGAACGGTTTTTTGATGAGATGAGCAGTGTTGTGTTTGACGTCTTGTAGAACAGTACATATTAACTTAAGCTAAAATTATATTTATAGTGAATAAAGTACAATACAAGCATATTTTTACGTCATATCGATAAATCCCTGTTATATTTATTCGAAAGCAAAATAAAATTAATTACAATGTTTTTATCGAAAGAAAAAAAACAAGGAGAAAGATGAAAGGGTGGTGGGGAAAGATCGAAGTAGTTTCTAAAATCGTTCAAATGAATGTCAGACGATATTGACGGTCAGTAGGCTACAATTTTATTTGTCCTGACACTTCAGAACTGTCTATAATATCAAAATACCTTCAAATAACACAGATAACACAAATTATTTGTTTTTTATATTTCAATTTTGCCCCGCCGGGGAAAGATTGAACTAGAGGTTCTCAAACTTTTCACTTTACTTGGATAAGATTATACAGAAAATGAAAGATATCTATCATATAAAATAATTTTTGTTAATGCCAAGATAATTTTAAACATAATTACGTACATGTGTACCTTTTACCATTTTCGTCAACAAAATATGTAGCACAAAACGTAAAAAATTAAATATTTTAAAATTTCAAAAACAAAACAACATTTTTTCAGGTACATTTTGAAACCATTAGTATGACTTTTGAAAATGGGGCAAGATGGAAACTTTTATTTGTTTATCTTACCCCGTCAAATATTGGCGGGTAAAGACGGAATGTTACAATAAATCCTAAAATGCAAAAAGTAGCGATATTTAGACATAACAACATAACTACCAATTAAAAATAATAAGTATGTATACAAATAAAAAACTCGTACCTACCTCGTAAATAAAGTTACACGACACGGGGTAAGATTAAAACACCCGACTTGCTCGCGTAAAATTCATAGCAACACACAACCTATCCCTCAAAACGACAAGTGGCCATTGAGGTGTGGGACGTAACACTATGGCAGTCTTATGAATGATGCCTGCATTGGATAAATTACACAAAATCTGTTTTTATTGATGCCTTTTTGCGTTACCCCGTTTTTCATCTTCCCCCCTACTCACCCTACTGTAAATTTCGAAGGATCGCTAACGGGAACTATACAAAATGCGATGTATGATGATGGCATTTATCACGTTTTTAACGTCGCACTTCATGAAGTTCCGTAAATAATGATAGATAAATGTGAGAAAAGAAATAATGCAACCAAATTAACAATTTATCTATAAAAAATATTTTGATATTAGCAGATAACAAATATCAAATGGGTTATAATAATTGTGCGTGTTCGTTATATTGTCCGCCATACCGAATTTCGAGACTAGGCATCTACGAATGACAGGATTATAGCGCCCGAGTGTAATACGTAAGCATAAAATGCACTATATTCCCTCACTCTCATAGTCCGATGACTGGATGATGATGACGATGGAACGGTAATTCGACCCATACCGGAGAGAGATCAGACGCAGAACTTACGGCTTTACGTGATTTCCGAGGGGTTGAAACACCGCCAACTTCCTGACTCCGGGCTGTTACGACTTTTTTGACAGAAAAACAGTAACTGATTTTGGCTCGACTCTGATTTCGAACCTGGGATCTCATGATCAACAACCACGTTTACGACCACTAAACCAACCAGCCAATCATTATCTGTGTATGTTATAAGAAATACCTATTTATTATACCTGTTATTACTGCCACTGCGCTGTTGCACTGGGGGCCGCGGGTCCGGATCCCGCACGGAACAAGTATTTGTATGGCCTACAAATAATTGTTTCGGGTCTGGATGTTTGTCCTTGTGCAATTTGTGTTTGTAAACTGCCTCCACGATACAGGAAAAAATCCTGATGTGGGGGTAACGTTTTTAAAAAAATTGCGCTTTGTTGCTCTTAATTGAATGATGTAATTATAATCAGACTTTTCTATTTGTCGTATTTAATACTGAGTTACTCTACAGGTAACGACAGTTATGTTGAAAACTATGTAGTCGTGGATAGTTCTAATCTCGACATGAAAGTTCATAGTGAATTAATCGAAAAATACCGAGAAGATGTAACAAAAACTGGTGTAATGCTTGTTAAGGATCTCGATGAAGTCCCGGCGTCACTAGCAATGGCCTTCCACTATTATTGTGACGAATTCAATCCACTGATTAAGAGAAGCGCCATCTTTTTCACGCTTAACATGGCAAGATGCTCAGGTAACGCATATTAGTTAGTTCTAAACGTTTTGTGGTTACAATAAACTGAAAACTTTTTTAAAATATTCAATGCAATCATACAAATACTGCTAGTAAGTATAACAGGTTGATCAGGAATATCTCGTGACCGCAAGACCAAGCATACCAATTAATTCCATCAATTTTTCTATGTGTAATGAAAACTATTTGCAAATATAGATCTATACTTAGCAAAAGTTCTTGATTTTCCGGGCCGTTGGTTGGTTTCCGGATGTGGATTTCATTTCGACTTGATGCAACAACCAAGCCAAAACCATGCTCAACTTACTGTAAGAACACATACTCACCTACTCATACGCATCTACAATCATTTGCAACCACCAAGTGCATATGTGTGCGTCCAGCATTGAACTAATAAAATGTCAGTCTAATTTATATTATTTGAAAATTATTTGCTCTTCTTTTCAGATCAAAAAATATCCCATGCGAGTATTGAAAAGTGTTTGGCGAAGAAATGGACAGTTATTCCTAAAGACAATATTGTCCCATTGTTAACTAGGGTAGTAAGCATTGTTGTGGATGTTGCCAGTGTATTTTAGACAATAATATTCTTAACAGTAGCATAATTTACTATTATTGCCTGAAACAATGTAATTGTTTTAATGCAAAAAGTACACGTACATTTTTTAAATATCAAATAAAATGTAAGATAATCAGTTTTAAATCTTAATTTTTTATAATTTTGTAATAGAGATTAAATGTTATAATTATGTCCTACTTATTAAATTATTGCTTGATTAAATAAATTTATTTTTTAATAACCTACAGGGAAAATGTATACAAGGTCGGATTAAGCCGTATAGAAGCCCCTATGCAATTCCGAGTTTTTGGCCCCTCCCCTTTTTCCTACTTCCTGTATCCTATATCACGTAAAAACGCGTTTTTCTAAGAGCGCGGAGCCATAAGTAACACAAACCCGTAAACGTTTGCCTACTTTGTATTTAGGCAGGGCCGTAGCTACCACCGTATCAGCCGTATCAATGATACGGGGCCCCGGGGCTACAGTGGCCCCGAACGTGTGTAAACAAAAATTAGTGAAATGGTATCCCCAATGTCTATAGAGTTTTCACTTCAGAATAGACAAAAGTCAAAAAAGCAATCTCTTTTTTTCGCGGGTTGAGCACTGCAAATCCAAGTGTGTTATTCTTGTAAATACTTTTAACACGCTAAGCCTTTTTAATGTTAAATGCCGTACACAAACTATAGATTTTTCACACTATGAAACGTGTAAAAAGTGTCTAGAAATCATGTATAGTTTGTTTATGGACATTTTACATTGAACACACTTTATGCGTGTTATTTTAACACGTTTGTGAAATCTTGGGATTTGCCGTGAGCGTGCGCCCAAAAGTTGGCAACATCCTACATCGCATCGGTTATTTGCGGGATTTCCCCGATCAAGTCAAACCACGGAGAGCAATATTTACGCGTTTTATTTCATTCCGGTTCAAACGTTATTACATTGTAATACAATACAATCTTGTTCTTCTGATTATTTATTGTTTAAGTAGTTTAATTTGTGAAAAGAATGAGTGAAAGGAAAAGAGAATATCCCAATGGAGCTATGAAAAGAAAAAGTAAACAGAAAAGGGAGGAGGTTATAAAAAAATGCCCAAAATTTCTTCATTTTTTCAGCAACCAGCTTCTGTGAGTGATTTAGATTGCAATGGTAAGTAGCGAAGGGTGAATTTTGTTTTTCGAAAAAACAATGGCAATCTTCAATATATTAAAATTCCTGATCCCGTTTTGTAACGAGCAATAATAATTAATAAATATTTTGCTTTGATTTTCTTCATTAGTAGTTGATTCTGTCGCCCACAAAAAAATATAAATTCCGAATTTTTGACCAAATACTCATAACATTACGTATCTTACGTTATTTAACATATATATTTTTTAAATTTATCTAAACATTATTTTATATAGAAATAGAAATAGAAATGTATTTATTTAACCAAAAAACATTACATAATTAAACAATGCACTGGGTTCTGCACCAAGCTCTAGGCTTGTAGCTTGCAGGAACCAAGAACATTGGCTGACACCGTTTACACCGATAAATACATAGGACTACGAAAAAATTAAAACAAAGCTAAAAAAAATTTTGTATAAATTAATTCATTAAAGAAAGAAAAAAATTGCTAATTTACTCTAGGTGTGTGTGTGTGTGTGTGTATGTGTGTGTGTGTGTATGTGTGTGTGTGTGTGTATGTGTGTGTGTGCTTGCGCGTGTGTGTGAGTGTAAGTCTACGCGTGTGCCTGTATGGGGTCAACTATGAAAGGAAAATAAGTTTTCCGTTTCCTAATAAGAAGCATGGAGCAACCAGGTTGTTATTTTGTGTTTAACTTTGCTTGTGGACAAAGACCTCAAATCTGGGAAGAGACAGCAGAATTTGTTATAGACGCTAGGCATTAGAAATGGTGAGTGGCGTTTGCTAAAGCTACTGGGTGAATTGGGAATCGGCACTCGAACGGTCCGACGTTGACACAGGCTTAGATGATCCGGGGAATTTATTATTTTTCTGTGGGTTTTTTTATAGGAGAGGCGGCAAACGAGTATGCGGCTCACGTGATGTTAAGTGACTACCGCCGCCCATGAACAAGCACAACACCAGGGGAATTGCAGATGCGTTGCCGGCCTTTTAAAAAGGAGTAGGCTCTTTTCTTGAAGGTCCTTAAGTCGTATCGGTCCGCAAAGATCGCTGATGGTAATAGATTCCACAAGGAAGTCGTGCGAGCAAGAAAACATCTTCTAAATCGCACAGTGGTGGACCGCCAATCATCCAGATGGTGTGAACGGTATCGGGAGTTCTGCCGCGATGTGCGTTCGTGGAATTTGGCGGCTGGGATTAATCCGAACAATTCCTCAGAGCACTCCCCGTGGTAGATGCGAAAGAAAATGCAAAGGGATGCAACATCTCTTCGCAGTGCCACTGAATCGAGCTGATCGGAAAGGACTCGGTCGTCGACGATTCGAGCCGCTCTGCACTGGATGCGGTCAAGTGGAAGGAGCTGGCACTGGGGAGCCCCTGCCCAGAGATGGGAACAGTATTCCATGTGAAGCCGAACCTGCGCCTTGTAAAGTTGCAGGCGGTGTGCCGGATAGAATTACTGCTTTTAAAATGTAGATTTGGCGAACCCGTAGCACCTTACTTTCCTTGTACAGTTCGTCAGTAGGAAATCTAAAGTTTCTAGACAGCATTGCTTTTAGTACTGCTCGCTGGGCCCTCTCGACTTCGAGCATTTTTATTTTGATAGCTCCACCCCAAGCCAGCCTGCAGTAGTATAGTAGGGATTGTGTTAGTGCTTTGTAAACCATTTTCATTGTTTCTTTAGTAGCACAGCGTCGCAAAGCTTTCATTATGTAAATGGTTTTCCTAACATTTTAGTCCTCTAGTTTCGAATAATTAAAAAAATCTTTATTCTATTAATTTTATTCAATTATATTTTTAGATTCTTCTGAAGCACATTCGCCATTAGATGTCCATCCGGAATTAGAAGAAACCCAAGTCGATGATTCTAAAAAGTCTAAAGAATTTTATAATATAATTTCGGCAGATAGAGGAAATTTTGGTGACAGTCCAACTGAATGCGAACGAAAAATAATTTTTAATTTGGGTCCATTTAAACCGCAAGGACCGTTTCCAAAAGATTCAGAAACAAAGCGATGTTTTTCGGCCTATCATTACTCATATTTAAATAAGGCTGGCATAAAAATTCCAAGAGCGTGGCTATGTTATTCTAATGTTTTAAACAAGCCGTATTGCCACTTCTGTTGGTTATTAGCAGATCGTCAAAGCAAATCGTACTCCTCTGCATGGGTTAACGGTGTTTCCGTTAGAAGTAATTATACGCTATGTATATTTGACCATGAAAACTCACAGCAGCATATTAATGCATCTCTGTCTTATAATAATTGGTTACAAGGAAATACCATCGATACTTCATTGCAAAGTGAAATCAATAGTAAAACTACATTCTGGAGAGATGTATTCTATCGTATAATTAATGTTATAATTACTTTAGCATCATGTAATCTACCTTTAAGAGGCCATGATTCTGATTCTGGAAATTTTGTGTCAATTTTATGTTTACTATCTAATTATGATCCTATTTTAAAAGAACTTCTTTTAAAACCGAAAGGCGAAATAAATTATTTAAGCCCTACGATTCAAAATGAAGTTATTAATTTGCTTGGTACCGCAGTTAAGAATAATATTATTTTAGCAATTAAAAAGCTCCATTTCTGGCAATTATTTTGGATACAACAAGACTTGTCAAAAATTGACCAACTTTCCGTAGTTTTTCGATACATCTCGATAACAGAAAATGATGATAATGTACCTAAAGAATTAAAAATCTGTGAGTCCTTTTTGGGGTTTATAGCAGTATCCGATTCCTGTGCAGAAGGACTTAAAATTGAAATTTTAAATACGATTAAAGAATATGGAATTGATTTGTCTAAATGTAGAGGACAGGGTTACGATGGAGCAAATGTTATGTCGGGTTTATATGGAGGATTACAAGCCCTTATAAAAGAGCATGCTCCTAATGCTGATTATGTTCATTGTGCTGCACACGCATTAAATTTAATTTTAAACGATGCTGCGAAACGTGTTATTGAAGTATCGACTTTTTTCAATAATTTAGAAAAAATATATACTTTTTTTAGCAATAGTATAAAACGCTGGACAATGTTGAGTAACGATTCATCTCAAAAATATAAAATTACCCTTAAAAAGGTATGTCCTACTAGATGGTCTTCAAAGAATGACGCTTTATTAGCGGTATAAAAAATTATTTATTAATCATCAAAACTTTGTACCAACTAAATTTAATTTCTACTAAAAAAGATGAACGTGAAGAATCTATACATATAATAAAAATGTAAATAGCAAATGTCTGTACATTTTATATTTTTGTAATAAAAGTGATTGAGAGATACTAAAAATAACTAATTAAATACATTTCTACCATTTTTAGTATTTTCTGTCTGTCTGTCTGTCTGTTTGTTTGTTAACGTATCACGTATAAAGTACTAATTTATATCATAAGAATAGTTAAGGAAATTATTAAGTGTATATTCAGGTTACATTTAGTCTTTATTTCATTAAAATTGGTTAATTCCATCAAAAGTTATGACAAATATTCTGAAGTATGGGTACTAAGTATAGGTACGAATTTGTTCAATAGTGGCGTTGGATGAGTCAAGTACATTTTAAAATTAATATCATATTATAAATCATAATTAAATGATGTAAAATAATGTTCTATAATGATATAATTATATCTAAAACGCAGTAAACAAAAGTATTACATAAAAAACGTAATAAATATATACAAAATATATTAACCTTATTACCTAAACTAAATTAAAGTACAATAGTTAACCAATTTCATCGATAGATGGTGGTGTGGCACAAATGTGATACAAAAAGGCAGGTTAAAATTTTTTCCTGTAGATGAGTTTCATATTTGCTTCTAACCTTTATATTAACGACACGCTGCCTTACTGCGTGTTGACAATCTCATTTATTTTTATTTTTTTACCGCCGAGTACTCTATGTGGTAAATCAAATTTTAAGAGCTATTAACAATTTCGTTTTTCGGCTAGGATCAAACTTTCTTTTTTGCTTACTATGCAGGCACTGATTTATAAGTTCTTTTATGTTTTTTATTGTTACAATCGTGTCAATTAATCTCTTATTTTTAAAATTGATGTTAACAGCGCCATCTCTCTTTAAATCTATACATATAATAAAAATGGTAATAACATGTTGTGTCTGTTTTTGAATATTGTATAGTATATTAATTTGTGACTAAAATCATTATGGGGACTGTAAATCATTAAATAAGTACATTTATATAATTTTTAGAATTGTACTATCTGACGGTCTGTCTGTTTGTTTATGGACGCATGACGTTTTGAATAAACATCTTTTTTTTCAATTTCAAAAAATTGAAAATCACAAAGCGTATTATCAAGTTCATTTAATCTTTGTTTTATTGAAATTGGTTAATTCTATCGAAAGTTATGACTATTATTTTGAAATGTAGGTTCGAATTTGTTTAATGGCGCCACAAAATCTCAGAAATAGTAATAAAAAGATTCGTGTGTAAAAAAACGTTCTATTATAATATATTTCGTATCGTTCTATTATAGTACTTAAAACACAGTAAAAAATATGTTTTCCTTAAATTAAAAAAGGATGTTTTCTCACAAAGAACGTAATAGATGGCGTTGTACAAATTACAACCTTTTATGAATTGCGGTGTTAAGATTTTTCGCAGGTGAATCGTATTGATACTCACTGAAATAATTTATGTCCATGAGGCCGACTAGCTTGCTACATATATATTTATCTATGAGGCCGACGAACTCCGCTAGGAGTAAAGTATTCTGTGCCGACGAAGTTCCAAGCCTGTCAGGCATATAATATATATACAGTAAGCTATGCCTGCCTGTAAGAGCCGACAAAAATCATCAGAAACAAAAACCAGAAAAAAGAGATATTGAAATATTCAATTATTGAACAAAACTCGACTAAAAGTAGCAAAATGCAATAAAATAAATGTCGTGATAGTGATATTGTTTTATACCCAGAATCCCTCTAATACCAAATAACTTTCCTTTCAGTTTTAAGTAAAGTAGAGATGCTGCCTATTTACGTCCCACTGCTAGGCACAGGCCTCCTCTCATTTCTGAGAGGGTTTTAGGGCAAGGAAATGTCCACCGTGCTGCCCCAATACGTGTTGGCGAACTTTTTTATTTCTCAGACATGCAGGTTTCGTCACGTTGTTTTACTTCACCGCCGAGCACGTGGTAAATCAGCACTTAAAATTGCAATTAACAATTTCATTGGTGCCGGTGGGGATCGAACCCGGGTTGCTCGAGTACGGTGAAGCTTACAGCGAGCGCTAACCATCTGAGCTACCACGGTTCAGGCTTCAGTTTTAAGATAGGGATAATAACATCGATGATGACATCGATGTTGGCATCGATAGCTCAACATCGATTTTCGATGTTAGGCTACTCAAAATATCGATGTTGACTATTATCGGTGGTTATACACAATATGTATATATACAAAATATGTGTAGATACTTACACATTGTTTCAAAATTATGTGGGTATACACAGCAAGGGAAAAGTAACAATTAACTTGAATATCAATTTACGTAGAATAGTTATTATGCGACAACCGACAACGACACTACAAAATAAAGCGAAAGCAGTGACCATTGCGACATTACAGGAGACACTTGACAATTAAGTTTGACTCACCATACTGACATTTTTTTAGGTTAACGATGCGTTCAGAAATTCTGAATTATTCAAAATTTTTAATCTTCACAGCAGATGCAAGATTTAGTTGATATTGATTTCGCGAGTTCGCATTGTTTGCAAGTTCCCAATTATCGATTATGGGTTCATTGACGTCGATGTTTCGATGTTTGACATATGTCAACATCGATGTTAAAACATCGAAGTTTTAATTTTTAACATCGATGATCATCTAACATCCCTATTTTAAGTGTGTTTCCCACCCAGCGTGTGTTATGCGACGATCGTAAATAAAGCGCAAGGTCAAACTTTACGCGTTGCAGGAGTGGACCTCAGTACTGATTGTTTTGCACATGGCCTATGTTGCTTTTTCCCGCGTTAGTAGTCCCCGTAACCTTTATCTGTACGCCCCGGCTAAGTCTACTTCTATCGTCGTTTACACAGAAGCTCTATCATAAACGACTTAGAACTTTGAGCACATCGATTTATTTTGTTACCACTTATTCATACCGTAATGATATAAATCGTTTAATATTCTCTTACCCTAAACGGCAAATTCTTTAAGTAAAACCTATATTCGCGAGCTACGCCGCGGGCACAGCTAGTGTAAAAATATAATTAACATTTTAGAGAGTTATGATTTCTTAGTGCTTGTCACATTTTTTCTTCACTGTTTGAAATCATTAATCCTGTTTCTAAAGCTTTACAGCATGAAAATAATGACTTACAGAAAGCTAGTATTTTATTAAGTAATCTTTTGAATAGACTGAGCGAAATAAGAAATCAAAATTCATTCAATGGTTTGCTAAATGAGTCCAGAGATTTAGCAAAAGGGTGGCGGGTAACAACTGTTTTTAAAAATAAAAGGCGAAAGATAACGAAGCGTTTTTTTGATGAGTTATCACAGGATGAAAGAATTTCAGACCCGGAATCATATTTCAAAATCAATGTATACTATTGCTGTTTAGATATATTAATTTCTCAAATTAAACAAAGATTTCAGAGCCTTTGTGACCTGAGTAATATGTTCGAAGTATTACAACCGGAGAAACTCCTATCTTCTTCAAACGAAGTGATAAAAAATGCTTCCGGAAAACTGTCGGCTAAATACAGTGAAGACATCTCAGTTAATCTTTATGAACAATTAATTGCTCTGAAAACATGCTTAAAATCTGAAATTCAAAAAATTCATTCCATGAAGGAACTCATCGAATTATTGCTGATAAAATTCAATAGCCTAACATCCAGTTTTCCAGAGGTAATAACAGCATGCTTTCTATTCTTGACCCTTCCAGTTACGACCGCAACAGCTGAAAGAAGTTTTTCATAATTAAAACTGATAAAAAAATTGCCTAAGGACTTCGATGGGGCAGGAACGTGTATCAGACTTGTCAGTATTGTCTATAGAGGCAAAAATTTTAGAAAAACTGAAATCGTCTGCAGCGGTAGATGATTTAATAAATCAATTTGCCGAAAAAAAGGCAAGAAAAGTGTACATTTAATTTGAATTGTTTGGCTAACTAAATTTCTAGGAGGAAGCGATAACTTATAATCGATAAATATTCATTTTAATTTAATGCAAGCATTTTTGTTTCTTTTGTGACAAAACTTTACCCTTCATTTGGGCCCCCCAACTAATTTTGATACAGGGCCCCTCAAAGGCACGCTACGCCACTGTATTTAGGTGAATGCGGGTCTGGACCTATATCATTTTTCAATTTCTTCTAGTACAGCCGCGCTACGCGAGTTCCTCGTATATTGTTTATGAACGGCTTGCTATACCGCACGCACTGAGAAACATCTTACTTTTCATTAGCGATGCTCCTATCCCAAACATTACTTTCAGCATGTTTGGGAATACAAGCACATGTTTCAATTCTTTCAGCCATCACTGGCAACACGCACTTAATAATTAAGAACATGAGTATAAATGAAACTAATCAAACGGTTTTATTGATGAACAATTTAGTCGATATGATTAATTGGTATGCGGATAATGATGCTACCAGTTACATAACCAATAGAGATTTGTTTGAATATTTTAATAGTTCACACAGTCACTGGGCCCTAATGGGCAAAGTATCGAGGCTATTGGAATTAGTACTATCCGTGCTGAAGCTTATGTTGAAGATGGACTAAAAATATTTTTCTTAAGGATGTTAGGTACGTACCTTCGATTACAAGAAATCTGTTTATTGTGCTTGTTGTACAAGATCGCTCACCAAATTATATTTTGTACACTGCTGAGACGTGTTCATTGAGAGCAAATAAAAAAGTTGTGCTAACTGGAAATAGGCGAAGGTATGGAGCGTTTTTTAAACTGTATTTGAAATGTGTGCCACACCCACGCTACATATCCATCAGATAAAGTCTTCCAATTTACTAAAAGTTTATCATAAGAGGATGGCGCATCAAAATAAACAACATGTAAGACAGTTGATAGATAAAGAGCTCGGCATTATAGTGGCTCTGGACAAAGAACTTTGCGAAATATGCATAAATAGCCACAGGGCCAATGAAGATTGCAGGAAAGTCTCCTCATGAATGGTTTGGCAAAAAAAACAGCTATTAAACATCTGAGAATTATAGGTTGTCAGTGCTAATCATATCCCTAAGCAAAATAGAATGGAACTTGACAAGAAAGTTCAAAAAGGAACCTTGTTATATTATGGAGACAATGGTTATTGAATTTAGAATAAAATAGATAATAAACTTATTTACGCTCAAGGGACGTTACTTTCCAAGAAGTACCTTTGATAGATAAATCAATAACCTTCTAACCTAGACACTACACTAAAATCTAATCAGTTTCATTTGCCTGATTTTTGTGTTTTATCTTCTGTTTCAAATGATAATGAAATATTCAGAAGTTATTTCAAATTATGAGGTTGGGGAATCGCATGAAAGAATTACTGCAAAAGAAGAAACAGGTGATATCAAAGAACAGGAACTTTGCGTACAAGAAAACGAGGATAACATAGTCGTCCTATTCGTTTTCAGGACTATGCCTATATGTTTTTGAATAATGAAATGATGGAACCAAAAACTTATAAAGGAGCAACTTCATGCTCTTATAGAGACAAGTGGCGAAAGTCTATGGATAGTTAAATTCATACCCTTATGGGAAAATGAAACCTGGTAATTTGTAACATTACCTGAAGGTCGAAAAGCAATACCTCTTAAATGAATATATAATTAAGTTAAAAACCAACTCTGAAGGTGAAATAGATCGCTACAAAGCCAGGTTAGTCGTCTAAGGTTACTCACAAAGAGAAGGCCATGACTTCTACGAAACGTTTAGGCCTGTTGCTAAAGGAAGTATTAGAGCTGTATTAATCGTCGCTGCAAAAGAAATCTTGAAGATTGCCCAATGTTATATTAGGTGACGAAACGAGGGAAGTTTCTTCTGCGCTCTTATAGATGGCGTTGGGATTATAAATTACTGAAAAATACACTAGTGGGTGTTATCAACTAAGTTCAGTATTATTTCGTACATATTTCAATAAAATTAAAAGGAAATGTATTTAATTGCTAACTAATTTGTTTTAAATAACTCTTCATTAGTTTGTTTTAGATGAACATGGTAAGAATTGCTTCATATATTCTTATAGAATTATTCTATATAGGGTAAGCAGTAAAATGATTGGCACTTTAAGCGGATTTCTACTTGTAAGTGGTTAATTCTCGTAAATAAACAAATTTGTTATATTTTTTATTGTTTTGTTGGATTTTAGTTTAGATAGCCATAAATAAAATAAATTTAATTTTTTTAAAAAGAAATGTTTAATTAAGTTAAAAATCTAATTAAACTTTTTTCTAGGGAATGTTACAATCATTGGCACCATTGGAAGTCTTAAAAAGTTATACCCAGATCTTTCTAAGCTCCATCTTATTGTTATAACACCTATTTTGAACAAATCTTCTTCAAAAATTTTCCTTAGATCTTCATCTGTAAGCGGTTTCGTTTGTCTACCATGTTTTTTTCTTTCTACTTATACATTATTGATGTGACTTTTTTAGTAAAACCTTTCGTATTTTCGCGATATTTTGTAGAAATAGAATTTTATTTCGGTATTTTGGATTAAGCATTTAGAGAGTATTATAATGTCAGAGTTTTTGGCTTCATTCTTCTTGTTTTGTTTGTCCGTTTGTTTCTATATTTGGCTGACTAATTCAATTCTGCATTTTCCATTTATGCCCCATTTTTCCATTATTTTTTTAGCTCCGCTGCTTCCGAATCTTAACTTTTTAGCACAAAATAACGGCGTTGTTTACCTGCTTTTTGCTTTTTGATACGTATTTGGCAATGGAAAATAATCTATAAATATTTTTAGGGCTTTCTAAAAGATTTTAATTTATTTCGACATCCACAATCACCCATTCACCTCCAACAAATTCTAAATTTGCTGCCCAGTTGATGAAAAACCTAAGGGTTAGTTTTCTTTCTGATACTCAACAATAAGCTCTGCAGGTTGTATACGCTCTGGTACTGATAAACCATTATTAAGTGATAGGATACAAGGCAAATTTGATACAGGTATTTCTGATTCAGTCGTTATTAGTCGTTATTCTTAAAATATTAGGTAATTCGGCGTAATAGCAAGGAACGGTGATCATCTAAAATGGCTTGCTGTGATTTCGAGGGCACCGGACACTTTGTTTAATCCACTTTGTCTGGATTAAATGGGCACAACCTATATGTCTCAAAATCATTTCGTAATGTAGATTTATTTCAATGCGGTAAGTCTTGCTAATATAGGCCCGCATCTCTTTTAGTAACCTTTTTGTCAAATTGTTTGTCCGTCATTCGAAGTAGAGATGTTACGGAGGTTCGATTCCGATTCCGAAAGTTCGGAACTTCCGATTGATTTTGCACCTCCGATTCCGATTTCGGTTCCGTTAATTTTAATCGGAAATTATATCGGAGGTCTATGCACAGCGGCGGCAACGGCCGCAATCAGCGAGTACAAACAAGTTAATACTTGTCACTCCGGGAACCACCCTCTTCCCGTGCCTTAGGTCGATTACTCAACTTGATGTTTTGTTTCGTATTTGGCAATTGACATGTTATAGTTCGCACTTCATTTATACTTATCCGAGTTTTGATTAGTTTTAGTAGTTTTATATTAGACGTGTGACAAATTTATTTGAATTAGACAATGAAGCCAAAATCAAGTGTCATTTGGAATTATTTCAATGAAGTTTCTGGGAATACGGCAAAGTGTAAACTATGTCAGAAGATATATTCACGAAAGGGAGGTACGACTACTTCGTTAAAAAGTCACTTAAAGTTTGTGCATACCACTGAATTCGAAGAATTCGCAAAATTAGAAACTGAAAAGAAAGATACAGTGCAGCCTTCGACTTCAACGCCTGTACAAGAGGTAAGAAAACAAATTACTCTCAAAGACACTTTGATGAAGAATCAAAAATGGTGTAGTTCTAACCCTAAATCAATCGAAATAGACAAATTGATTTCTGAAATGATTTCTTTGCAAGATCTCCCCTTCACTTTCGTGAAAGGTATTGGATTCAGACGGCTTACGCATTTCATAGCGCCGAATTATCAGTTAAGGGGAAGACATTTTTTTTGTTGAGTTATACACAAAATTAGCAGAAAAGATAAAGATTTTGTTAAAACAATTTGAGAAAATCTCATTTACAACAGATTTGGAGCGACCCAAGTTCGAATGTATCGTTATTAAGTCTAACAGCGCACGGAATAAATGAAGATTTCAAGAGGATAAAAGTTATTTTAAAATGTCACACATTTCACGGAAAACATACAGGAAACCTAATCCAAGAAAAAAAATGATGAAATGTTAATGGAATGGGGCATAACAAATGAGAAAATTCACTGTTTCATTCGAGATTCTGGATCTAATATGTTACGAGCAATGAGACTCGCCGCTATACCTGATGTCAATTGTACGGTACATCAGTTACAAATATGTGTGCGATCTATGTTAGATTGTGATGAACAAGTCAAAAACTTAATAACGAAATGCAAAAAAAATTCGACGCATTTTAATCACCCCCAAATTGCTCAATCGGAACTGCATAAAATACAAAAGGAACTACTTAACCAAGATGTTTTAGGTGTGGTGCAGGAGTGTAATACGCGGTAAGTTTTAAAATTACATTTTTTTGTTTTTATCACACTGATATGTATCCCTATTCCCTACCTATCCTGGGTTTCTTGCTGGTTCTTCCCAGGACTGAGGTATTTTCCGAACCAGTGGTAAATAAAAAATGACTTTCAATAAGTATTATGTAATAATCAATATTGAATAAAAATCAATCTATTCTATTCTATTCTATCCGTTTGTTACGCCTTGTAGCCAAACCACTGAATCAATTTTGATAAAACTTGGTTTTAAACATGCATTTTCATTAAATAGTATATATTTATAATTAAATTTGATATATGATAATTAAGTTTCTAGTTTTAGTTTTTTTTTTATTATCATTGTTTTTAATATTGTAAAAAAAAATTACTTATATTTTATTTAAAAGAGTTAAGAATTAAATTAATTATCTTGTGTAATAAATAATCGCGCAATCCTCTCAAATTACTACCATTATTATTTTAGTCAATTTAACTTTTATGGCTCAATACTAAAACATTGTTATTCTTATTTAATTTTACTTTTTTATAGGTGGAATAGCACATTTTATATGTTGGAACGAATGATTAAAATACAGGATTCACTTTGCTTGTACGCAAGGAAACACAATATCCCACAAATATCTCCTGAAGAATGGCTGCAGCTTAAGAAACTAGTTACCATACTTCATCCTTTTGAGGAGATTACACGGAACATGAGCGACATTAACACAAGTATCTCAAATAGAAGACAATAAGCCAGACACAAATGAAATATTTAAAACTGTAATAAAATGTACTGTCGACCAACTGAATTCAAGATTTGAAGACCTTAATTCTTATAAATTGTTTGCAATAGCTACATATCTGGATCCTCGTTACAAATGAATTTTTTTTAGCGAAGTAATTAAGGAAGAGATTGAGTCCGAATTAATGAGTTTATTTAATGGTGGAAATAAATCTGCAAATGAGGTTCAAAATATTGACGTTCCTGCATAAAAACGGGCAAGCTTGGCATCACCAGCAGTTGGTCAATCTACCAATAATTGTAGCAATGTCCAAACGTTCTTATCAAATATATTGAGTAGTGATGATGATGATAATAATACATCCGACGAACATGCAGTTTTGGACAATTTTTTTGTATTATAAATTTGATAAATGTCTGTCCAATAGTTTTTGAGTTATTCTTAATAATTTAAATTAAGTCGGTTATACAAAATTTTTAATTTTTTATTATATTATATTTTATTAGACCTGCCCTTAACACATCTCTCTTCTGCCACCACCTTCGGTTCCGATTCCGGTTTCGATAAACAAGATTTAAAAACTCCGCTTCCGATATAACCACTTCCATAACATACCTAATTCGAAGACAGGTTTACGCCACATATCTTTGGTGGGCCGAAATGCAGTGATATCAGCTGATTGCAATAGTCGCGTTGCATTCAGGTTAAGGGCTATAAGTATTATGGCGAGATTTGGGCAAAGTTGCGCCGTATTTAAGATAGTAAATAACTCTCTCTCTAGGCACTAACTTTTGAACGTCTGATCATATTTTCTATAGGGGGAAAATAATAGGTTTTACCGTCTACTCCAAAGAACAGTGATGCAAGATTTCGATTAAGCATGATCCACCTCATAGACGTTTTATTCTCCCTCTATAAAACTGTTTAGTATGTATGGGGTATTTATTCAAAAACCTCACATCATTGACATTTTTAGGACATCGAAAACTGTGCCAGTACCAGGTCGGCTTTTCAGCTTGTTAGTTTTTTTTTACTTTACTTATTTAGTGGGAACTGTAAATTCACGCGTGGAATGTTAAATGTTAGTGTGGCAGTTATTTTTCTAAAACTCCCTCTCTTAATAGCAGTATTCTTCATCAATTCAAAATATGAGAAAGTTCAGTCATAATCATTGGCACTACTCAAAGGATATAGTCATTGGCAGTGTCAAGAATAGATTTTGAACAAAAGAAAGAAAGTACAGTGATTGACATATATGCCAATGATTATGTAGTCAAACAAAGTAAAGTATAATCATTGGCACAATTAAAAAACCGATGCTTCTATTTCACAACGATAAAATAACGTTTAATATGCTTTAATGAAGTTAATTGATTAAAATAGACAGAAACTTGCATATAAACTTACCTAAAAATCACATTTTTGTCTCAAAATCTAGCCTCATAACCTTAACTTTTTGTTAAATTTTAACGGATTTGTCCGCACACATTTTTAAAACAGCCCTTATAGGAAAATAGTTGATGCTTTAAATATAAATGTGTATTGTTAGTATAAATAATTATATATCTTAGCAATATCTGTGTAGCTGTGATATAGAAAAAGGAAAACATTCTTAATATTTAGATTAAAATTGCAAAGTGCCAATCATTGTAGGAGTGCCAACATTAGTACTGTTTACCCTATATTATACCGCTGTATTTCAATACTTCAATAGCATGTAATGTTTTCTTATATTTACGCGAAGACTACACATTAACTGAAACTACGTCGGTGCTTCACGTCAGCTATATGTTCTTTAACGCGGGTTTTTATAGATCTTTTTGTTTGTACTATGTAAGAGAAAAATATCATAGACAATTTGTCCAGTGAGTTAAAGACAGTTTTAACGACATTTGATTTTAATAATTACATTGAAACTTTAAACAAACGCGAAATATCGAAACATAATGAATGCAAAGACAAGCAAATAGAAAAATATCAAAAATTAACTATCAAATCAAATGCCAAACATCCATGTCAACGTAGAAACGAAACGCAACAACCGTTGATCACAGACGCAAACATTAAACAACGCACGGTCTATAATTTGTCAAAGCAAACACTGGACGAACCTACAATAAAAGTATTGTCGAAGGGCTTGAATTTTGCTATAATAAATAATAAAAATCCCGAACGAAGAAATTATCTGTAGTGTTGAGGATTGTCTGTTTTAGGCCCGCCACATACATACGGAATTCCGAACGGGTCTGCCACACATACGAAATCCAGTTATGCCCGCAAAATTTCGAAACTGAACGGAACGGAAAACTACCGTACGTGTATGTATGTGGCCGGCCTAAGAATAATATCGGTAAGGCTTCGGTATAAATAATAAATACCAGCAGTGGCGCCATCTTTTTTAATAAAATATGTAAACATTGGGGAAAATAGTACTTTTAATGACTGAGACGGCGCTAGCAAATTTGTAGCATTTTAACCCGTTGTAGCATATCACGCCCTGCCAGGAAGTTGTCGAGTTACCAGAGTAACTCTATGTAAGTCAATGTTGCAACCACTTCTTTTTGATTATCACGTTTATATAAAATAAAACTTCTATTAATTTTTCTTATATTGTTTATTTAAAACTAATGTATAATGTAACTAATACCGGCATAGTATAACATGGACGTTACACTCCTCATCAAATGTCTACTTATTATCTTGTTGAAGGATAGGAGGCGATAAAAGGACTGGGCAGCAAGAGATAGAAAGATGAAGAATTGTGATGAGAAAGAGTTTAAATTATAATTTTTATAAGGAATAAATTAATTTGCAGGAAACAGGGAATGTATGTCAGCTATCACATGTACGTTAAGAGACAGGTTAACAGGTGTTTTAGTTAGAGCTACGCTACAGCACAAATGGGTTGGCTCGACTGGAGAATAAGAATGATATATTTTGAAGAATTTAATTAAATAATTTTCCCAATAAGGTCTGTCTGAAAACAAGAGGACAACCATAATATTTAAAAATACTGTCTGTAGTGTTGAGGATTGTCTGTTTAAGAATAATATCGGTAAAGAGGATTTAGAGGCTATACGTCAAGACATTTCGTCCTTGTTACGTCGAAGTTCAGCGCCGAAATTAAATCTTCCCAAAGACGAATTTAAAGCGTTGTACAACTTACGCAACAGACCAGAGCTCACGATTCTCCGCGCGGATAAAGGAAATGCTACGGTAATAATGGACACGTCAGAGTATAATTTCAAAATACAACAACTTTTATCGGACGTAAGTAGATACAAAAAGGTCAAAATAGACCCTACAACTAATACACTCAAAACAACTACTGATTTAATAAAGACATACTCCGAAAAATTAGATCTTGACGTGAATTCGACAATACCATCATGTGCCAAACCACCGAGGTTGTATGGGTTACCGAAAATACACAAACCAAACGCTCCACTACGTCCTATAGTAAGCCAGATCGATTCACCAACTTATAAGTTGGCTCAACACTTGGCAAAAATACTGTCACCACTAAGAGGACATACCAGAGCACACACAAAGGATTCATACCATTTTGTTAGTGAGATTAAAGACCTACATCTCGCTGACAATGAAACTATGGTCAGTTTTGATGTTCAGACTTTTCACATGCCTACCTATTGAAGACTGCATCTCAATTGTTACTAGAAAGCTAGAAGATAACAACATGCCTACAGAATATGCAGTATTACTCAAACACTGCCTCACATCTGGCTATTTATTGTGGAAAGAAGAGTTCTACATGCAAGTAGACGGAGTGGCAATGGGCTCACCTGTATCTCCCGTAGTCGCCGACATATTCATGGAGGACTTTGAGGAGAAAGCCCTTCTTACTGCTCCTGTAAATCCAAGATTCTACAAGCGGTACGTAGACGATACTTTCACAATTTTACCATCTGACAAAGTAACTGTATTTTTAAACCACCTTAATTCCATAAACCCTAAAATACAATTCACAATGGAGTTAGAGGCAAACAATACTTTAGCTTTTCTAGATGTTTTAGTCATCCGAAATCCTGATAACACTATTGGTCATACTGTGTACAGAAAAAATACCCATACCAACCGATATTTAAATGGTGAATCTCACCATCATCCTTCACAGTTAGCTACCGTGGGAAAATCTTTGTTTCAGAGAGCACGAGGGATCTGTGACAGAAAACATCTGGCCGCCGAGCTTCAGCACGTCGAGCAAGTACTGCAAGACGACAAGCTTCGCGTCCCGCGCCTACGTCACAGTGACCGAGTGAAGCCAGCCACAGTCGAGCGTGTGCCTGCTGTACTACCCTATGTCAGAGGAGTCACAGACAAGGTTGGCTACATCTTGAAGCGAGCTTCCATTAAAACGTACTTCAAGCCGCTAAAGAAGATTGGTCAATTTTTACCATCCTTCAAGTGTCATATCCCTCTACAAGATGCAGGAGTGTACAAGCTGGATTGTGAATGTGGTCTCTCGTACATAGGACAAACAAAAAGATCTATTAAAACCCGCGTTAAAGAACATATAGCTGACGTGAAGCACCGACGTATCGGGAAGTCTGCAGTTTGTGAACATGTTCAAGATCGTCCCCGCCATTACATTAGATTTGATAGAACACAAATCCTCGCAAAAGAACACCGATTCCTCCCAAGGATGATTCGCGAGGCTATTGAAATTAAAAAACATCCTAATTTCAATAGAGATGATGGATGGGTGCTGCCATCTGCTTGGGATCCCATAATTAATAAAATCAAATCCAAACCCAAGTATACCACTGCTAGACTTCAAGATACTGTAAGCTCATTCTGCGTAAATCGAACCAAAAAAAATTAATATTAAAAAACTGAAGGTAGCCGGGCTAACTATGACAGCAGTACGTCAAACACTCAGTCCCCCGTGACCACGGGTGCTGGAAAGCACCCGAAACGTCGGGAATATAAAAATAAGTTAATATACGCGATAAAATCCGTAAAATTAGTTTTATTTAAAAACTAGCTTTTTACCCGCGGCTTCGCTCGCGTGCGCTTTAATTTAGGAGCATCATTAAAAGCTCTTCCGTGCCAAATTTAGAAAAATTCGATCACTTTTAGAGTCACCTCGGTGTCTATGTCTCTATGTCTGTCAAAGATTTTTTTCATTCTAAAATACTATTAGACGTAGATGAATGGTAACATGCTATATAAACACGTGCTTATATATGTCTAGAAACACCTACTGTTTTTTATATCGGATACTTCTATGTCGGGCGTGTCTTCCGACTCCGATGTATCCATAAGAAAGGTAAATAGTCTTGAAATCAAAATGTATTATTATTATTTACATTGTACTCTTTACATTTATTCATAGTTAAAGTTAATTTAGTTTTAACAAAGTACATTGAGACATTTTAAACAGATGTAGATTTTTTTTTTACTTCGTACTCGAATACGTACGACTTGAAAATTTCATAAATACCAATGTATAATAATGAATACTACACATGGATTAAAACTAATCTTACGGGTTTTTTACGCATCTTGGATGAAAGTTCCGAGTAAAAGAACATATCGTTGATTTGAGGTACCGAAGCTCCGGGAAGTCTAAAGTATGTCAACATGTTTAGTATCATCCCAACCATTAAATCAGATCTGATAGACAACAAATCCTTGCAATAGAACACCGAATCCTACCAATGATGATTCGCGAGGCTATTGAAATTAAAAATATGCTAATTTTAACAGGGAAGATGGCTGAGTGCTACCGTATACAAAGGACCCCATAATTAATAAAATTAAATTCAAACTACTACTGCATTTATTCTATTCTATTTTAACTACGAGATCAGGTCGTCAAACACCTCAGTTCTCCCGCCCCTCCCGTGACGATGGATGCTGTAAAGTGCCCAAAACATCGGGAATTTAAAAAATTAAAATTAAACGCGATAGAATCCTTAAAATTAGTTTTATTTCTTATAAATATTATTCACAGTGAACGTGTGGATCACTACATTCATGAACGGGAGTAGAAAAATGTTCGTCCTGTCGTGGCGGTGAAAGAAAATCCACCACCTCATATCGTCCCGTCGTAAGAGGCGACATAGGAAAACAAACTGGAGATGGGATGGGCTGCATCATCTTTTTGACAACAAATCAAAATAATAAGAGCTGCTGTTGCCAACCCGCCTACCAAGCGTGGCAACTATAGCAAATATCCAGCTACTTTTATGCTACAATTTATGGGGGAGGCCTATGTTCATTTTAGTGGACTTTTGATAGGTAGACGATATTGAGTTCTACTCATCTTTGCAAGCCTTAATATTTACGGTAGAGTGAAAACAAAAAGTAACATACCCGAAAACACGAATGAAATAAAAACTGCATATATTGCCCTATGAAAACTAAAAAAATAGCAGCTTACATACATGTTACTAATGGGCACAGGCCGCAGAGTTTTGGCTAAAAAAGTGTCCGCTGCGCTGATTCCCACGCGGGATGAACGTAATGTAAATGATTCAATTATTTACATCGTACATTCAGTAGCATTGTATTATTTCACTTTATCAATGACTTGCCATTTTAGTTTATTTAGAAGTAAGTAGGTGGCGCTAATATTAGATGAAAGAATGAAAGCCAAAACCATACCACCTAGTAATATCAGCAATTGAAGCAAACATTTATTTATAATACGAGTATCAATAAGGGATAAAGTGATGTCAATTCCCTTAAAAGTTCTGTTTCTGTTAAAAAATACGCTATCAGCGCCGCTAGCGGTGAAAAACGATTTAATGATATCGTCATATTATGAAATAGCAACGTTGTGTTTAGTTATTAATATCTCCAAACGATTTCTATTCATTGATTTGGTCAAGCTATATCATGACATGGTGAACAAATAGTGTTAAATATAATGAAATGACCACACCACTTCACGAAATGATAGACTACGTTATGATATACCTATGATCAATTCTACGATCTGGTCACGACATATATAAAAATCTCTTGAATAAAACTTTCATGATAAGGAAAATTTTGCAATAATTGCAGACATACCAGTTTTAATCACTTTACATATATATTAGTAATTGCAATAAATACCTTATCAATTTTCATATTTTTGATAGACGTCACTATTATGTATTGAAATTATTACACTTTTAAAATAAAATAACAAAATACTATAAAACTAAACGTGAGTTTTTTAATAATTTTAAATTTTTAATCTATTAATCATATACATGCAAGTTATTTATATTATTTCATTTATTAGTAACTGAAGGCAAAATATACTACTTTTTCCATTTGATGATAGATGGCGCCGTTTTGAATACCCAATCGGTGTAGTTTCAAATTATTTTACCAACATTATAACTATATTTTAAACTTTATTTACAAATATGGTATTTATTTTTATGACACTTTTAAAATAAAATAACAAAAATACTAAAAACTAAACGTGAGTTTTTTAATAATTTTAAATATCTAATCTGTTAATCATATACATGCAAGTTATTTATATTATTTCATTTATTAGTAACTGAAGGCAAAATATACTACTTTTTCCATTTGATGATAGATGGCGCTTTTTTGAATACCCAATCGGTGTAGTTTCAAATTATTTTACCAACATTATAACTATATTTTAAACTTTATTTACAAATATGTTATTTATTTAAAAACACCCGTCATCCCACTTACAACCAAGATATAATAGAAAATTAACATCTAAAGGAAATAAAATACTTAACCTTCCTTTTTTGAAGTTCCGTAATCGGATAAAAAGTAGTCTATAAGTTGCCCCGGGTTACTCACTACCTACATACACAATTTCATGTAAATCGGTTCAGTAGTTTTTGCGTGAATCCGGAATACACAGACAGACAGACAGACAGACAGAAAGACAGACAGACAAAAATTCTAAAAACCACTAATTTGGCTTCAGAACCCTTTATTTAGTCCCCTGGACTTGTTTTTTCAAGAATATATTAGAATTACAGACACGACTTTTCTACAGATTTATTATATGTATAGATGTGTAGTGTTCGCGTAAATATAAGAAATCATTATTTAAAAATACTTTTTTTTTAATACATTATATACCTTTCATTTGATATCATGTGAATTTCAGAGGATAAATTAAAATGAAAATTCATGTTTTCATTAATACGAGTACATTGTAAATTACATGCATTTAGTCGAAACTATTGTTAAATCTTATTGAATGGGCCACAGTGCACTTTGGTCAGATGTATTGAGATCTGGCGCTTCATTAATGTCATCCAAACTATCTGGTTCCAATTCATTATTATTTCTTGCAGGTGAATATGATGTTCGTAATTCCTCTTCTTCATCTTCATCATGAGACTCTTCAGATTCATCCGTTTCATCGTTTCCTAGAAATTATATAAGAAAAAAATAATGAATCACACCATAAATTCATATTTTTTACAATGTTATTTATGGAAAAAAAATTAAGCATTACAACTTTCTAAGTGTTGTTGATATACACTTACACTTCTTCACAACACATTTTTTGTTTAAAAGGAGTATACTATTATTATCTCAAAATGGCGGGTTGGTTTTACTTGTAAGTGGAGGTGCACATGCACATTTGTTTAGTGTCTCGAGATTCAAAAACAGTTTATATTATTTGTTCAATTACGATATTTTTTGCTGGCTAACACTATCCACAGTTACGCACACAAACATGCGTCAATCACTACTACAAGCGAAGGCTCGCCCGCCTTCGATACTAAATCTACAATGAAATATAATAATAATAATGTCATTTAACAGGGCGATAATAATAATGCAAAATAAAACTACCTTCTTCTTCATCTGTATCTGCTTCTTCTTCCATTGGTTCCGGATCTGTTTTACCTAAAGGAGCTCTTTTCATATATTGTTGGCCAATGGAACTTAACTAAAATCAAAATTATTAAATTGTATTAATTGAACGTATCTTCTAAATAAATCAACTGTCTACATACGTCCTACAATTAAATAAAGACTTTCTCTCATATCTGAAGAGGGGTTAGGAGCACAAAAGTGTCTGCTGTGTAGCTCCACTGCACATCATCATCATAATCACCATTATTACAGCCCTGCAAAAGTCCAAGGTTGAATATAGGCTTCCCCCAAGGAATGCCACAAAACACGGTCCTAAGCCACCTGCATCCCGCGACTTCCTCCATGTCTTAGGTCTTCACTCTATCTCGGGAGGTCGTCGTAAACTACGCTTACCAGTACGAGACTGCCACTTGAGAACCTTTCTTCCTCATCGGTAGTCGGTTCTTAGAGCTATACTGCCCAACCATTCTTACCTCAGTCACAGAATAAAAAATAGTACTACGTGCAGAAGCTGCACTCATTTGTGTTGACTGCTTGCCAACGTTTTAATAGCCTACATTATTATTAATAAAAACATAAATCGTGCACGCAAGTTAAATAAAACTTTATCGCTGCGCGAGTGTCCATATTACTTCTTTTCATCTTTTCTCCATCTTACGTCAGGAAGGACTTTTCGTGGTTACTAAGGGCTGTTAATAAAGAGTACAAAAATACATTGTGAAATAGTAGGTACTTTACCTAAGTTACTTAGGTAAAGTACCTACTCTGACTATGATCGACCATATTACCGCTACTACGAGGGGATGTTTTTAAGTTCATGGAATGGATAGGTAGGTAATAAGAGAGGACGTCGCTGAAATACGTGCTAATTGAGCAACTCATTATTAGTATAAATACCGGCTTTTATTGTAATTAGATCATTAGTCTTTGAATTATCGTCAACCAAACAAGTCAATTGTGAAATATGGAGAAAATCGAGTTCTGTGCCGTTATAAAGTTCCTTAAAAAGCGCGGAAAATCAGTTCAGACTATACTGGAAGAGATGTCATCCGTTTACGGAGACTCTTGTCCAAGTAAAACTATGGTTTACAAGTGGCATACCCTTTTTAAACAAGGCAGAGAGTCACTTGAAGACGACCTACGGCCAGGAAGGAAGATCGAGGTGACCACTTCGGAAATTATTCAAAATGTCGAAAAATTAACCGATTCGTTGCGGCACCAATTTACGACAACTTTTAGCTGTGGCGGCGAACAAATATTTCACGACACGCCGGGCGTGTCAAGCGCCACAGACAAAAGTAGTGTTCTTTTTTATGCTTTTTTTTACTTGTTTAGACCTAATTAAGTTTATTTGACATCAAACATAAGTTACAAATTGAAGGATACTTGTTTTTAGTGGGTAACTACGTGTTTTTTTACGCGTTTTCTTTGAAATTGAGAGAAAGTGACTTTTTTATTTTTAACATTTTGTACTATTTTTTGTTGTTATAAAAAAATCATTTATATAAGTAGGTACAGCTAAATCAGCCTGGAAACCTTGGTTTTTATTAAATTAAATTTTCACCAAATAATAACATTTGTAAATATCAAACAATGAAGAACCTTAATTTGATAAAAATGTTTTCACTAACCAATCCTAATAAAGTAAATTTTTTTTTACTTGTATTTTTGTTATGTCGGTAATATTCTGAATAACACCTTTTACTGGATCACAGACACTATATATCAATATTTATTTAATTAGTATAGCCATTCAGCAAGGAAACACAGCCAGCATTCTAGGCACAATAACACAGGGAATAAGACTGTAGTATCATAATTTAAGTTTATGTTTTAGTTTTTCTTACATAGTTTCTTAAACTATTAAAAAAATGCGTACAATAGTATGTATTCTAATGTTTCATTATGTCCACAATAATAAAATATCTTTATTTCAGGCAACACAGGACCCATACAAGAATGTTAGTAACAGTGAAATGAAATATAACTTAAATTATAGTGTTAGTAATTAAATTAATTTACATAAATAATGATGACAAAATGTAAATGCAGATGTTTGAGACCAGCCGCCACGAGGGTACCAGTGACTTATACCGTGGCATGTAGCCGTATCCAGCGCTCAAGCAGCGGCGAGTCCCACCTATCTGCCATTGTGTTGAGAATGCTATTGCAGCTGCCACGCAAACATTTAAATATATATATAGCCACCATGTTAGTTTTTAAGTGACTTCATGCATCTTAAAACCCATGAAAGGGCACAATGCTTTTAAAGATATCTAATTTGTCAATATATGATGAGTAGTTTAGAAAACCTGAGAGAACAGATGAACATACATACATAACCATCCTTTTGGCTTTGCCGTAGTTGGGTAAAAATATTCACTTACATCATCTGTGTCGAATCAGAAGACACGTATGTACTGCAATCGGTATCGATAATTATAGTTGAGGCAGGCAATGCATGGTGCAGCACTTTTTATCACCCACACATGCACATTACACTCACACTGGTCTTGCCCTAATCACTCCATTGCCATTCTACACTACTATACTAAATCAATGGTTAGCTCAGATGGTTAGCACTCACTGTAGATTTCACAATACACGAGCAACCCATGTTCAATCCCCGCCGGCACCAATGAAATTGGATTGTATGAATTGGATGAAATTGGCGAAGGAAAATATTGTGAGGAAACAAACCTGCATGTCTGAGAAATAAGAACAAAAAAATATTTCGAAGATATGTGAAGTTCGCCATCACACATTGGGGCAACGTGGCGGCTACTTCCTTGCCCTAAAACCTTCTCAGAAATAAGGGGTAGCCTGTGCCCCACAGTGGGACGTATAAAGGCTGTAACTTTAACTTATTGAGTCATTTTTTACTTTTACCACTGGTTCAGAAAAAACCTCTCTCCTGGGAAAAACTAGCAAAAAACCCAGAGGGACTTTTTTTAAATAATATTAATTTACAATGTATTATTTTATACAATTAGTATGAAAACATTTAGAAACAGCATGGTAGCCATCACTTCATTCCCAGGGTTTATGTGTACTCTTTAGTAGTATAATAACCATTTTAAACAATTTTTGCTTAATAATAATTTTAAATTTTTTAAAAGATGCAAATTTTTTGGACTATGTTGTGAAAGTGTAAACATTGCCCCATGAAGGAATTACTATTGTATTGTAAAAATTTATGTTCAAAAATTCTACTGGGATTCTTGTTGGTTGTTCCCTGGACAAAGGTAAAATATTACCTTCAACAAGTATTATGTAATAATTAATTTTGAATAAAAATTATATTATATTCCATTCTATAAAATTTTAATATAATGGCATTAATTTAAAGAATCAAATTCTAAACCAATTGCTTTAGAATGTTGTTATCCTTGGGTAGAATTTTCAGTTGTGTCATAGAAACATTTACTCCCTCACTGAAACTAACTAAATTAAGCTACAGGGTATAAAAACTCTTCATAACACAAACAATTAAGCCCGCTTTTCACTATGGGATATAATATAATATACATTACATCTCGAGATATAAATTAATATCACTCGCCATACATTTCATATGGAACCGTTTACACTGAGCTATAATATATATTATATTTGAAGCTATAAATATTTTTTCGATCGACCGAGCGATATTTTCATATTATATTTCGCCCCCTGTACCCCGCACACCGTTCCGTGCCCCCACAGAACGGTATATGGGGTAAAGGGGGGTAATCCGATGACCAATGATGAACGCACACTGGTTAAAAGATATATCTCACAGTGTGAAAGCCAATCGTGGGATATAATTTATATTTTGGGATATAATATATATTATATCCCATAGTGAAAAGCCAGCCTTATGCATTGTAGTTAATAAGGGGATTAAGCCACGGGGGAGACAATTTGGTTTTAATTTTTTTGGCTGAATCTGTCTGGGGTAATCTTTGGAGTAGGTAAACAATTTGTGATATATACAGGACAATACCAAGAGTGATCTAAGCTATATTTTATCCCAAAAAAACATGCAGGAGTTTTTTGGGAAATTAATAAAGCTGGTAAATTATTTTTGATGGTTATCTCTTAATGTGTATGAGTGTATGAGTCGCGGGTAATAGTTAGTCATAAAATTTATAGTACCCAATGTTGGTTTGCTTGTTCCAAACTTGTTAATTCAGCTTCTTCATCGCAAGGACTGTCGGCGTTAAACCATTTTGAGTCTATAAGGCGAGGTAACAAAACTGGGAACGGTATATTCATTTCATATGTATATATATTTATACATGAATAGCACAAACTATCTAGAAACACTCACGATGAATAAATGTAAACAAATCTAAAACAAACTTTCAAATTAAATTTTTTAGCAAACATAAGGCTTGGGCAATAAATATCGATATATCCTTTTTTTATAAGAATATCGATATAAAGTGTCGATATTTAAAATCGCGAATATTTTAAAATGTTGTATTAATGACAAAACATGTAACAACAAAATATGATACAAAAGTATTCATGTGTGGTTGGTTGTAGTTTTTTTTCGTCGTCCAACCGTCAGTACTATAAAATTTTGGACCTTATCTTCACATCATGCAAATGACGACAATTTATCGATATTTACCACGCGATACATATCGACACTGTTTAAGAATATCGATTCGATATATATAGATATATTTTTTCCCTAGCCCATCCCTAGCAAACATCATAGATTTTATAAAAAAACTAGCTGTGCCCCGCGGTTTCACCCGCGTTTTTCTCGTTTCCGTGGAAATACCGAGATAAAATATTGCCTATATTATAGCCTTCCTCAATAAATGGACTATTGAATATTTAAACAGTTTTCATATCTGATCAGTATTTCCCGAGATTACCGCGTTCATAACAAACAACCAAACTTTTCAGCTTTATAATATTAAGAAAAATATAGATTAAGTTAAATTGTATAAGTCGCAGGCAATAGCTGTCTGTCTGTTCGACATTCAGCCAGACACATAAGAATTACGACTACAGGCGGGAGTGTCCGTCCACTTTAAACCGGGTTAAAATATTATTTTAAGTACTTCTGAGTAAATTATATTTTTCGTTTTATTTTCTTGTGGCAGAAGAATATATTGATTGTTTCCGCAACCTGATCTTGACAACGCGACATATAGTTGGGCGTGCGAAAAACAGTCTTGCCGTAAATCTAATCCTACATATTTAAATGTTTGCCCCTGTGATTTATTTATCATTACGGCAAAAGATAATTTAATTGGAAATTGGACTCTTTTAAAATGAAAAGGCAAATCATTTGGAATCATTGGGATCCGAGGTATAAGTACTGTTTGACCAACCGCTGGACCATCAAAACTGTTGCAACGATCACGTTATTGCGAAGAAATTTAACCTGAAGTCGAGTCCCGTTTCATAAATTTGGTGGCTTAAGATTTCTAAGTAAAATAATTGGGGCACCAATTTTTAACTTGAGAGAATGTGGGGGGAGGCCGCTCGGGTTTAAAGAATTAAGAAATTCCTGTGGATAATGGACTGCATCTTCTTGATCCATTACATTATCAATAGAAGTGTAGGTGACTATATCCCCTGGAAGTTTAGGTAAAATTAAATCGTTAATTTCGTCAACACTACTGTTTCTCGCCGCCAATATTGCTCGTTGACACATCCATTGATAATCTTTATTTTCTATTTCGACGATATCTGGGTAAACTTTTGATATTAAACTCTCAATGCTAGTCACTTTTTCTCCTAAATCTTGATCAATAGGTATTTTATTTTCAAAATGAGGTACTTTTCCGTCTCCAATTAAAAGTAACTTCAAAAGAAAATTTGTACTACCTCCCCCCAAATGTGCTCTGATGTTCGTAGATAGTTTTAAGGTATGAACAAATTTCCATAATGGAGAACTTTTGAGGCAAGATTTTACAATGTCTGCTCTAGTTCCTCTTACTACTACTGGTAAAGTTTGCCGAAAATCCCCAGCAAACATGACAGTAATCCCACCCATGATTTTATCACAGCTTCTAATATCTCTTAGAGTCCTATCTATAGCCTCTACGTGAGCTCTATGAATCATGGTGCATTCATCCCAGATTATTAAAGTGAAGTCTTGCAAAACTTTTCCTAAAGGGCCATTTTTACGAATAGAGCACACGCTATCTTTCTGTAACGAAACGGTTAAGGGCAGTTTAAAAGTGGAATGAACTGTGCGTCCACCAGCTAATAAAGTTGCAGCGATTCCTGATGACGCTACTGCCAAAGCTAGTTTTCCCTGAGACCTTACTTTTGCTAATATCAAATTATTGTTTTTTTTTTCTTCTTTAAAAAACGTTACCCCCACACTAGGATTTTCTCCTGTATAGTGGAGGCAGTTTACAAAACAAATTTCACAAGGACAAACATCCAGACCCGGAACAATCATTTGTAGGCCATACAAATACTTGTTCCGTGCGGGATTCGAACCCGCGCCCCCCAGCGCAGCAACTCATTGCTAAGCCACTGCGCCACGGAGCCGTCATTAGTAATGAAAGTTTTGCCGGTTCCGCCTGGAGCATCCAAAAAAAATATTTTTCCCTCATTGAAACGAATTTTTTTTAGGTTTAAATGAAATACTCTAGAAATCAAATAATGTCTGTCGTAAGAATATTGACCGAGTAGTAATTCAATTTTTATTTCTGGCCATTCGGAGTTACATGTGAATGTTATAAAGAGATCTGGTCTTCCAAATTTCCTGACATAGATCATGGCATCTTGACTTTTTTCATTCATGTATCTAGAAGATCCTGTAAATGACGATGGCAATATAATGTGCTGGCCAACATTAGAAGCGTCTACATTGCCATCATTAACCACGGCATCTCTTAAATGAAAGTACTCTTCTGCTCTTAGTTTTTTTTTTGATTTCTTTTTATGAAGTCAAGCCTCTCAGAAATCATTTTTGCTGCCATATCAACACAGTATTGATTAAATAATCCTTTGAAATAATGTATGCTGTTAAAGTCATTTATTCTCACCATGAGTCTAAATACATAAAACTGCATACATTATATAGTTTTAGATCTAGCAGCAGTATTTTGCTGTGGAGTATTTATACAATATCCGTCATTTCCAAAGGGAAACAGTAAAGGATATTGAAGTGGGTCATAAGATCTATGTATTTCAGAAACTCGCTGAAGGCGCCCATCTCTGGTATTTAACACTATATCTCGGAGACCTTTGTCTTCATCTATTAAAAGAACAGCTACTTCATCTACCATGGGCGCGTTATATCGACCTCGATGTTCATTAGGAGGTTTTACATCAGCATAAATGATAAGTTTAAAATCATTCGTTGGTCTGTTTTCGAGATTATATTTAAAACTTTGAATATAAGTATTGTGATCGTGAAGATATGTTTGGAGAGCGTCGATAAGATCGGTTTTTAACGTTGGGTTTAAATTTGAGCGTAAAGATACCTGATCTGTATGGGAAATAGAATATATTTGCAAAAATTCGGGTTGTGCGCCTTCAGGTGGAAGTAAATTATCGATCAGATGGTAAACTTGCCCCTGGACTTTAAAAGTGGGCATAAAGTTTCCTTCACGAATTTCTTTGGCACCAAATGAAGTCATCTGAAATAGAGTATTATATTGTCTAGAGTGATTTAAGAAATGCTTAGAAGATGGATGTGAGCCTGATATTAGATCTTTAAGAATTGATGTTGGTGCTGGAATTTTAGGAATATTTACTTTGCCACCACTACAACAGTCCAGAAACTTCAGTCGGCCATTTTTTTGCTTGACATGAATTACATATTTTATTCATTCTGCAAATATTAGTACCATTTAGCTCAGCATAGTCAAGGGTATAATCATAAGCAAATGCTGAATTCAATAAATTATATTGCCTGCGAGTTCTGTTCCTTGCTGTTCGTGCATTTTGCTGTGCTAATCGATGGGAACGTTTAGCACTTGATTCCCGTTCCCGGTTTGCCGAAGTACGGGAATTCTGTGTAGCTCTAAACGTTGAGAACGTTCAGCGCTTGATTCCCGCTCGCGATTTGCCGAAGTACGGATATTTTGTGAGACTAAGCGCTGCGAACGTTCAACACTCGATTCCCTAAAACGGTTTTGTTCACTGATCGCTCGTTGAGTAGCCAACCTGTGCAGATTTTCTTCGGGTGTTTCATTGCTGCGTAGAAGTCGCAATCGCTTTGCAGTAGCAGTCTGTCTAGAAAGCTGAGTTCTTTTTCTAGGCATTATAGTAAAGAGGTAAAAGAAAAACCGTATAAAATTAAAACTTAATTAAAATAAACTGAAACGTAGTAATCAGGTAAAAGAAACGTAAGGTGAGTAATTATTAAAAGTCGTATGAAATATATGTCAAAGGAATTAACGTAAATGACTTCAAAAAAACGCAACGCTGCATTCAACCGTTCCGTAGGGAGCCGACCACGCGTTTGAGGCGCGCGGCATGGTACCTTGTAAACCAAAACACGCGGGCGGCGCGGCGGGGGGGGGGGGGGGAGCGACAGGCGGCCAGCAAGCTCCTCGTCTCGCCCGCCGCCGCGTCGCCAGCGTCTCGTCTTGCTTGCATCAAGCGCGCGTGGATTTCCTTAGCAGAGTTATTTTAGAAATGTATTTATTATACTCTTCAAAGATCTTATACTTACAATCAATATATTTCGAAAAAGATTATTACAGGATTTTATGTTGATAAAAAACTCTATGGTCCATAACTCATTAATAGGTACCAACTCTTAACATCTTACACACGTGATAACTTTTAAACGAAATATCCGATTGAGATGAAACAAAAAGTATTTTACTTCTACATAAATACTCTTGATAACATAATGCTTAATTTCGATAAAGATTAATATTACGATACATATTTAACGTAGTTTTTTTTTCTTCAGACGATTTAATAATTAATTTGAACACAAAATCGGTTATGGTGATTAAACCATGATAGCTAGATATATGTTCTCGCGGACTTTTTTGTAGGTCTTAATAGGATCTACAAACCTGTAGTACATCATTTTGTTTTATTGTCAATAGTTCTTGCAGCGCACGCAAAAATAGGTTTTCGATTTTACACCTTGTGTTACAAAATAGCAATTTTATTACGGATCCCTAATTTTGAAATAAAAACAGCCTTCCTCGATAAATGGACTACCCAACACTGAAAGAATCATTCAAATCGGACCAGTAGTTCCAGAGATTAGCGCGTTTAAACAAACAAACAAACACTGCAGCTTTATAATATTAGTATTGATATTAAGATTTTTGGCTTGGATACTTTTCCTCTAAGCCATGTCTTCCTTTTATCTCAGTATCAAGTGATAATAATCTTTTATAGTAGACTGCTTCACAGTGTGTTGATGCGTCACATATTATCTCAAGGCGTCTAAGCAGACAGACACCTTGTATTGAGATTCACATCACCATCAGGCACTTGTTTACACCGTTTCTACTAATAGCTCACATGCGCAGACATTTAATACACAAAATTGCATCACTTACACATCAAAATCCACTTCAAACCAATATTTTAACAATAATACAGGAACAGCAATCCGCCGTCAGTCAAGTTCCCGCCAAAACTTTAATTAATAAATATGTAGCAAGTTAACATATTTATGAATCAGTATGTAGCAGTACTCACAACATTAATATTTAAACTCAGCAATACTCACAAGCAAAATGCACGCAAAATCTGGAGCACAGATAACAGAAAATGCTGTATACTATAAAGGATTATTACCAATTGATACAGAGATAAATGAAAACAGGGCTTAAAAAAGAAGCATCCAAGCCAGAAATCTTAATAAAATCTTACTGGTCATTGGCCATAATTTTGTTTTTTATCATAGACATACATAGATATAGTATCTTATCAATCCTCTATCTACGTTTTTTATGGTTAGCAGAAATAAATTTCTACTGTCAAATTTAGCTTGATAATTTTGACAGCTCATTGTAGGGATGGGGTGGTGTCTTTTTAATCTTTAATGAATTTACTCGATTGTTATTCTCATGGCACTAGCAATCGATAGTTATATGGATTAAGAATTTTGAACAATTTCTTATCTATGGAATTAATCACAAATTATTATTACGATAATAAAATCCCTCCCACAATAACGATTTCGCATCGTGCATATTTTTATTCGGTCAGTCAGATTATTTAGTAGAATACGTGTGAGTCCAAATAATTTTTATTAAATGGCTTAGTGTGAATTAAAACAAGGAATTGTAGCTTGAAGTTATTTATTATTAAAATAATTGTGCACAACCTAAATCAAGTTCATTATTATCATCATCATAATCATCAACAACACTAGGCTTCCTACTAGAACTGTCTCTTACGTTGACTATTAATTCTTGTTCACAAAATCAGTCAAAGTAGACATCTCGCTCCCAGTCTTCTAGTATATATTTTTTGTATGTTCCACGACTTTTCTCCAGTCCAGTTATCTCAGGCATTTTACAATAAAGTCAGTCTTTTCTTAGCTGTAAATGGTGGAGATGTATTATGTTTGGCTGCATGATCTAAAAGAAAAATTACGTATCTATATATGTTGTAAACGTAGGTATAATGACATTAAAACAAAAACTTTGACATAAGCCCGAATCCATTCGATGGCACCGTACAACCATGTTATTCTGCGATTTCATCCAAAATGTAGGTTGGCTTTCTGGGTTTGTTTTCTTTCACTAATCGGACCAATTCATGCTTCAACATATTTTCATTGGCTTCAATGCCTTTGCTTAGCAGCCAAGATATAAGCTACAGTTTTCTGATGTTGGATTTTGAGTCTTTGTATTTTTGTAAGGAATGTTAATATAATATAATATGGTCCATAATAAACTTATGTGGTTCATGAAGATTTTCCAGTAATGTTAAAATCCACTCTTTGAACTTTTCGAAATACATGTTCTCATAATATTCTGTTGTTTTTGTTGATTTGAAAGTCAACAAACAATTCGGTACGAAACCGTTTGCCATCCCTGCGTGTGCAATTATCAGGCGTTGTCCTTTACCTTCGGGCACTTCGGTGACTGATTGTGCCGTGTCACCAGTCCACGCTTTCGGTGCAGTGTGGTACGTATTAAGCCACGTCTCATCCAGAAATCCGACTTCATCCCAATTTGAAATATGTTTGGCTTTTCTTAAAGAGTCCACCCGTGCCAAGGCAATATCTTTGCACTCCATTATTATTTTTCTATTATCGCATTTTTTATAAGCGAAGCCAACTTTGTGTAGTATGGTGGGCAATGACTACCAACTACCTTTAAGTAAATCAAAGTCTTTAAGGGACAATATTAATTTTCTTAGTGTTGGATATAGTTGCGTATTGAGACGGCATCAAAGTCATTGTGGCGGCGCTGTCGTCGCACCACAAGCGAAACACATCAAAGCCTAAATCGCGCTAACAAAATTCCGAAATTAAAGCAGTATATATAGAATGGCTCCGAGCTACCACTCGGAGCGTTGGCCGCTCCCCGGGCAGAAAACCTTGCCCGGTGGGAGATCTCCCCTTTTCCTTCCACTGGCTACAGTGGTGACCACTAGACGTGATATGAACACGCAACCAATAACCTTCGGAAACTACAACTTCAAAAACCTTCGTCATCATCCTCAAGTACCCTATTCATTCGCTCCCGAGCAGATATTGTCTGCAGTCTTCACATTCTGCAAGCCATCTAGCTTTACAAAGGTTCATCGCAGCACTGTAATAATAATGCTTCTTGTTCCTTCAAGCTATTCTTTGCGCTACAGTGTTTGGCACGGCTCTGAGCCTTACTGCTCGCCTCTGCTTCACGGCACTCTCGCAGATTACTTGCCTCCTTCTCGACTCACCGCAGACTACAAGGCAATCCCTGGCACTTGCTCCGGTTCATCGTTCTCACCGGCATCACTTGCAAGTGCCTAGTATGGCATGCATTATACACCGGCATATCGTTCGCACCGGCGTCACTTGCCCTTATGCACATAGCATGCATTCTCCACCGGCATTAAAGACGCACCGGCAATCGGACTGCAATAATCGACCTCCGGTCTGAGCAGGGCGGTGATGTGGTAGCACTGTCGTCGCGCCACAGGCGAAACACATCGAAGCCTAAATCGCGCTTACAAAGTTCCGAAGTTAAAGCGGTATATATATAGAATAGCTCCGAGCTACCACTCGGAGCGTTGGCCCTTACTAGACAATTTTTGCTTAATAAATAATTTAAATATTTTGATAGAAAAGGTCTACATATTTTCTGGGACTTTGTTGTAAAAGCGTATATGTACATTATCCCATGAAGGAATTACTGAGTCGAGTAACTGGTATAACGAACTTGTGCTTATTCCTAGTATTTACAGAATGTACTTTACTATTTTTAATAAAACTAGTTTTATTTTTGTGTACGTATGTACACAAAAATAAAAATAGTTTTATTAAATAAGTTCTCGTAAATATATTGAGAGGCCAAAGTTAATATATTTATATCGGGTTTCTTTGGATGACTGGCTGTAGTTTTGCCACAATCTTGGAGACAATAGATACTATTTCTGATTTCCATTTCTTTTTTCACAACGATAGCTGACAATATAGTGCTGGCATGCAATTAGTACCGTTAATAGAACATATTTTGCTAATTACGAGCCAATTCCAATACATATTTACGTAATTTTTATATACTCGATTTATTTCAAAACCAATTTTTGATAATCCGTGGTTGATCGCTATGGTATGGCATAGTTTCGCGTGGCACAACACTATCGTAAGTGGGCGGTACCCACCCATGAAGTATAAGAATATCTGTATGCCAGTTTATTTATCTAGAAAATACGAAACTTCACAGGCGTGAGTTTTCAAAGTGACTTAGACTTTGACTAGGGATGCTCGATGTTGTCATCGATAGCTCAACATCGATGTTCGATGTTTATCCTACTCAAAACATCGATGTTGGCCATTATCTATGTTTTTTGCACATGTATTTAATAGGTTAGAATTAGATGAGTAAAAAAATTGTCATGTTGTTTATAGTTTATAATTTATGAAATAAAATAAATTAATAAACAATGTAGTGTAAAACAATAATTAAAAAAATTAGAAGAAGTTCACAAATATCTAATTCATTTGTTATATTGTCCAATATTTGTGCCAATTGATTGAAGAAATAGTAATTTTGACAAAGAAGTACCTTTCAATCTGTTTCTCTGTTGATAAAGAGTTGAGCCAGCTATTGAAAATCATTTAAAAATAAAAAATTTGTACAACTGACTTCAATATAAATTATTAAGGATAACTCAAAAACTATTGGTCAGACTTATATGGGTCTAATTTATATGGGACCACATGTGACCCAGATTTCAAATAAAAAAAAGCATAATCGAAATCGGTTCACCAAGAAAAAATTTATGGGGTTACACATGTTAAAAAAAGAACATACAGTGGAATTGAGTACCTCCTCCTTTTTGAAGTCGGTAGATAACCGCTCAGATGGAGCTGATGTAGCGATTGTGGTCAAATATCTCCCCGCAAGTTTTATTTTTATTACAGATAGGTAGAACCAATAACATTGTTCTAAACGTGCATTGGATCGTGTATAAGATCAACCATCGGATTTTTTTAAATAACAGCCGATAAAGAAACAGACAACCAACAACGACACCAATAACAAACGAAATTAGTGACAACTGCAGCATTACAGTTGAAACTTGACAGTTAAATTTGATACCCCATAATGATATATTTCTAGGTTATCGATGCGTTCAAGCATTCTGAATTATTCAAAATTTTAAATATTTTAGAGGAGGTGCAAGATTTAGTTGATATTGATTTCGCGGTTTCGCAAGTACCCAATAATCGATTATGGGTTTATTGACATCGATGTTTCGATGTTTGACATGTGGCAACACACATCAAAACATCGATGTTTTTTATTTTTGACATCGATGATCACACATCAAAACATCGATGTTTTTATTTTTGACATCGATGATCATCGACCAACGAGCATCCCTAACTTTGACAGAGACACAATTTGACAGAGTTACTAACCTTCTACATATTTATTTATCTATGGAGATACATATCTCAGGAAAAGAAGAAAGCCAAGATAAAATCTCTTTCTCAAGTGCATGAAATCGAAGCAAAAAGATTCTATAATTGAAATGTAGAGCAAAGCAAAGAGAATATTATCGTCACTACGTTTTATAGCGTATTAGTGTTCTGTGTTTATAGCGGAGTAAAGACAGGAGAGAGCAGAGACAGCTGGTGTGTTTGTGTACACATACGTTAATTTAAATAATTTTTGTTTTACTCTTTATACCTATACTACAGGTTACAGGATTCATCTAGGTACGACTTTCCATTGACGTCAGTGGAGTTTGGTGTTGATACGTATTTTTACAGAAAGATTACACTATTATAAGCACACACACAAAGTCTCATTACACGGAAACGCGTAATTTTTGAGAAAAGAATAATTGAAAATCAATTATTCTTGCAATGTTTATGTCTAATCTGCTAATAAACTGGCGCCATTTTGTAATGTCATTGTCGACGTCAATAGGGATGTCGATTCTTTCCGAAAAAGGTCGATTTTTAAATCGATTCAAATCGTAAGTGGATGTATCGATTCCCAAAAAATCGATTTCTAAAATATCGATATTTTTTTCATGTTTGCATTTATAATGTAAATAAAAATCCATTTTATGAGAAAAAATCCCCTTCATCATAAAAAAATAAGGGGACTGATTCATAAGGATTTCTGTATCTATTTTGAGACTGCTACGTCTCCGGCGCTGCGGGAAGAGCAACCTCTACGCCTTAGCGTAACAAATCGCAGGCATCCCGCAGCAGGCGGAGGCTGCTCCCCCTACGCGCCTCCGGCTCTATAAAACCACTCTAGGGGTAGGACAGACTCGTACCAGGTGGAGTCGGGGTCAATCAATTCGGTTCTTTGACATAAGTTGAACCTAACCTATTTTATTTGTTACCTGCCCTAATAGGTACTGTTAAATAAAACAAATTTCAATAAGAGATCATTTATCATGGTATCTTTCTTGTTTTTCATAAAATGGGTTTATATTTACATTATAAATAGAAACATTAAAAAAATATAGATATTTTAGAAATCGATTTTTTGTGAACCGATACATAAGCTTACGATTTGAATCGATTTAAAAATCGACCTTTTTCGGAAAGAATCGACATCCCTATTGACGTCGACAATGACATTACAAAATGGCGCCAGTTTATTAGCACAATTAGCAGATTAGACATAAACATTGCAAGAATAATTGATTTTCAATTATTCTTTTCTCAAAAATTACGCGTTTCCGTATAATGAGACGTTGTGTGTGTGCTTATAATAGTGTAATCTTTCTGTAAAAATACGTATCAACACCAAACTCCACTGACGTCAATGGAAAGCTAAGCCTTCATGGTTCATGGTATATTAACTTGTTATAATTATCATCATTTCTTCATTCCTTTCTGCCTAATTCAAAATACTTTAAAAGTGGAAGTTCTACACAGTGTACTTTTTGAACTGACCAAAATAAATATTAATTATTGGAATATTATGACCCAATCAACAATTAATCAAAATTCATTTCAAACTGAAATTATAAGATGTGGTTGGGTAACAAAAGATCCAATTTACATAAATTATCATGATACAGAATGGGGCAAACCCGAATTAAACAATTTTCATTTGTTTGAAATGTTGTGTTTAGAAGGGCAACAAGCTGGCTTATCTTGGATAACAATTCTGAAAAAGAGAGAAAAATATCAACAGTTATTTTATAGCTTTAATCCACATAAAATTTCAAAGATGACTTATAATGATGTTACAAAATTATTAAATGAACCTGGAATTGTCAGACACAAAAGAAAATTAGAAGCTATTATACACAATTCAAAATGTTATAGAAAAATGGAAAGTAATGGAGAAGAGTTTTCAAATTTTATTTGGAGTTTTGTAAATCATGAACCTATCGTTAACAATTGGACCAATATAAATGAAATTCCAACGGAAACAGAAATTTCAACAACTCTTTCTAAAGCTCTTAAAAAAAGAGGATTTAAGTTTGTGGGGCCTACAACTTGCTATGCATTTATGCAGGCATGTGGTCTTGTAAATGATCATGTTATTAGTTGTTGTTGTCGTAACAGGAATAATTGTATTAAGTAATGGCCAATAACTTCTGTAGAGTATTCTATAATTAAAATCATCAACAAACATATAATCAAATGTTTAAATTATATGAATAATTCACACTGAACATGTCTGAGTGTGAATTATTTATGTCAAACAACATTAATAGAACAATTCATTTCCTGACATATTCAACAATCATTTTGTAAATAAAACTGTAAAATTGATTTCGGTTTTTAAATAAATATAGGCCTATGTTCAGCAGTGTACTTGTGAAGGGCTGTTATGATGATGATGATGATGAATAAATGGATAATAAGGTTAAAATTTACATACATACATAAACTCTGAATATATATATGGAAAGGTAGATATTACAGATTTGAGATGCATGATCTAGACAATTTGTTGCATAATGTAGGCTATGTGTTGGAAATAAATTTAAAATAGATATGAATTTAAAAAATCGCAAGAATACCAATATGTAAAACTATTAACAAATAATAAAATAAAACTATAATTGAACATTATAACTGCACTCATTAGAAATAGAATTCAGATAAAATATTGACTATACGAGGGGCACACTGTAATGATAGGGAATAAGGAAAACCACATGCATGGTATAGCTAAATTATATTTTATTGTTTTTCGATGTATTCTCCGTTCAACTTAATGCACTTTTCCATTCGTGCAAACCAATCATTAAAACAGTAATTCCAGTCTGAAGTTGATGTTCACAAAATGGCTGATTTGTAACCTTCCACAGCTGCTTCGGGGTCTTCAAACCGTTGACCGCGTAATAAATCTTTCATTCAAGGGAATGTAAAGAAATCGTTTGGGCTCAGGTCAGGACTGTACGGAGGATGGCTCATCAGCTCAACGTTTTCCTGCTTCAAAAAACCATTTGTCTTCCGAGCCGTATGGGAGCTCGCATTATCGTGATGTAAGATGATGCGACGTTTCGGGCTATTGTTTCGGAGTTCGGCTATCATTTCTGGCAAACAAACCGTGATATACCACTTAGCGGTAACCTTTCTGCGTTCCTGTAAAGGAATTGTAGCAACATGCCCCTTTTTCGAGACAAACGTAGTGACCATTTTCTTTGATACGCTGCGGGAGCGAACCACTTTCGTTGGTTTGACGTCATCTTCGAAGACCCAAACTGCTGACTGATGTTTACTTTCAGGTTCGTATGAATAAATCCATGATTCGTCACCTGAGACGATATTATAAACGGAATTTGACTTTCGTCCATTGAAGCGTTGCAGAGTATTCCGGCACCAATCTACACGAGCCGCTTTTTGCTCTTCGAACAAATTGTGGGGAACCCAGCGGGGAACTAGTTTTCTTACACACAACTCATTATGTAATATCGACTGAATTGCAGTCATTCCGATACTGATAACAGCCCGAATCTGCTCGTATGTCACATGACGGTCATCTAATATAATAGTTCGCACAGCTGCGATGTTTTCAGGCGTGACCGCTGTTCTTGGTCGACCTGCAGAAGAAACAGTGCTGATCGACTCACGACCGCGTCGAAACTCTGCATACCAGCGGTATATTGTCGTTTGACTCGGTGCTTCAACATCATAAATCGAAACAAGTTCGCTGAGATATTCATCTTGAGATAAGCCGCGACGAAAATTGTGATAAATTATGGCACGGAAATGTTCACGCGTGAGCTCCAATTCTGTTAACGACGTGTCAACTTCAAACCAACATAGTTTTTGTTTTTAAACATTTTTTTTAATTGTTTCAATGTCATTAAGATTCTAAGAGGCCAGTATTCAAATTCTAAAAAGGGTTTTATTGTAACTCAATCATATTCTATTCCCGATCATTTCAGTGTGCCCCTCGTAATATTGGCTAATACTATAGAAAATATAATAATCCAATTCTTGGTGAAGATTTTCTATTTTATATTGTACACGAGCGACCTGCCACGGCTTCGCCTGGGTTTTCAATTTCAAAAAAATATCCAAGTTTTTCAGATAAAATATAAAAATAATGTCACTAAATATGTGTTTTTATTCGATAGACGAAGTCTCTATGAACCCAAAATAATTAACCGTTTAAGAATCGAATGCCTGATTCTTAAGATATTATGTTTTATTTAAAACTAGCTGGTACCTGGCGCGCTGCAACCGCAGAAGAAATAATTTCATAAATATAGATTTAAATTGTATAATAGGTAGGGGAAAAAAGTTTCTTCGTATTTTATATTCAAATTAAGGACTTTTTTTCTCAGTTTAATTACATTTAGTTATTAGGTCCTTACATATGAAATTGGCGTTTTGTACGGGAGGAATATAAGGTCAATTTTTTTTTTGTAAAATATATTTAATTAATCAAAGTATGCACCGTTGTTATCTATGCACTTTTGCCATCTCATATGTAGTTCATTGATCCCTTTACTAAAAAAAAAACCATGGGGGCGAGAATCAATTAACTCTTTGAAGGCGGTTTGGACTGCCGCATCGGAGTTGAATTTTTTTCCTCGTAAAAAGTTGTCCAAATTCCGGATAAATGGTTATCTGTTGGAGCAAGGTCCGGGGAGTACGGTATCCACCGTCGCACATTCCAATTGTAGCTCATCTTACTTAGTAGTTGTTTGTTGTGCAGTGTGTGGGTCTTGCGTTGTCGTGAAGCAGCAGTGGCCTAGAGCGATTGACCAATCTCGGTTGTTTAGCAGCTAGTTCTTCCTTCATGATTTGCAGTTGCTGACAATAGATATCTGCCGTAATCGTTTGGCCAGATTTTAGAAAGCTCTAGTGAACGACACCGGCGCTAGTCCACCAAACACTCACAAGTAACTTTTTCTGAGTCAATTTTCATTTACGGCAGGATTTGGCTGGGTCTCTAGGGTTCAGCCATTGCGAGGAGCGCTTCAGATTATCGTACTGTATCCACTTTTCATCACAAGTAATAATTCGATTTAAAATCCCTTCATTATTGTGTCGGTTGAGTAACAGCAGTCTACGCGTGTTTGCAAGTTCGATTCACTCAATTCATGAGGTACCTACCCATTGTTCAAGTTTTTTTACTTTTTCGATTTGCTTCAAGTGGTTAATACAGTTTTATCACTTACCCCGAAGCCTGCAGCTATCTCTGAAGTGCTTTGTGATGGATTCGCTTCCACAATAGCCTTTAATTCTTCATTTTCCACTTTGGTCTTCGGCCGTCCACGGGGTTGGTTCTGAAGGTCAAAATTTCCAGAACGAAAACGTAGAAACCAAAAACGTACCGTGCTTTCTTTTGCGACACCAGCGCCGTACACATCATTAATCCTTCGAGCTGTTTCTGTACTCGTACTATACCGATATTTCATGTTTCGATTGTGCGGTAATTAGCGACGCCAAAGAAAAAAATAATGAGGAAAAAACAAATGAACGACTGTTTTCAAAACTCAAATGTACCAGCTAAATGAATTTATAAATTTGAATTTGTAATTCTTAACCAAAGAGGAGATATTTCAGATCAAAGTGGTCAGTACGACAATACGCTAATTTCATATGTGAGGACCTAATATAATATATATGGCCATTTTATTCGATAACTTGTTGATAATTAGGTAGTAACATAATCCCGTTGCTGTAGAAATCTTGGGATTATTGATCAAAAAAACGCGACAAGTAGTTTTGACAGTTTTTTTTTTACTTGGGGAAATGCCATGATGCCAAATGCGGAGCAAGGACGGGTTATGTTGGACTCGCACCGACTAAAACCCCATGGTGTTCTACCTTTGCCGCATATTGGCAGGGCCACGGGAACGCTTTCGCACACATCCGCGGCCCCACCAGCGCCCGCCGCCCCATGGCAGCCCCTTCTCGGGGGAGGACCTCTCTTCCCCATTCTCCTTCTCATGCAAGGCGCACCAGGAACACAATGCACGCCCCCCTCCACGGCCTCCGACTCCACCTGCGTATTGGACCCCCAGAGTCCGATACGCGGAGGCCATGGAGCCAGGAAAATCGAGCGCTTAGTAGCACCCGCTTTACCGACCCCAGCGGCGGATCTGGTCTGTGGCTCCGCTGCCAACCACGTTTCGGCCGCAGAGGGTAGGGAGAGCGGCGCCTCGCAATACCGACACTCTTCTCCTCATGCGGCCCCGCCACTACCGCATCAATGCTACGGCCCCGTCAGAGTCGCGGGGGATAGGCCGAGTGGCGCATCGCCATACGAACACTCCTCTTCCTCCGCGACTCCACCTTGCCTGCAGCGATAGGGGGATAGGACACCCCTCTCACCGCAGCCCACCGACACACATCCGAAGTGGGCTCGCCAAGCCCACTCTTAGTGGCTACCTCGGGCCAGCCAAGGGGTTACTCTTTGTTGACCGCGGGTGACCAAGCCACGGCTACTAAGTCCCCCCGCCACGACAAGGCGGGAACCCGTTGGGGGGGGGGGGGGGCTCTTGATGTTAACCTAACACTACCCAAAGACTTCTAAAGAGACCGAAATAGGTGAAAACTTCAAATACTTGTTCCGTGCGGGTTTTAAACCCGCGGCCCTTGGCGCTACAACTCATTGCTACGGGGCCGTCGAATAACCTCTCGGTCGAAGTTGAATTTGCCTAGTCGTACTATTTGTCCTAGGTCATACTCGTCGACAACTTCGAGCGTAGTGCGCCCAACAACTACCGGCATAGGTGTGATATGGACGTTACACATGTTCGTTGTTTTGTCCATGTTCATTTCAAGACCTATCCGTTGGGAGGCACTATTGAAGTAGCCCTACTATACAAACACTTCTGCACTTCGATGTACCTTTAAGTCAAATTGGCACCGTTGAAGGGATTGCAGCACCGCCCAAATTTTGATGGAATCAAAGGCTTTCTCATAGTCTACATACGAAGACTAAATGGCAGATTGTACTGGTAGGTACTAAAGCCTTTTCGGAAACTGGCTTTTTTTGGGAGGCAGGAAGTCGTTGAGTCCGCATGTGAGACGATTTGTAATGACTTAGAGGGAAAATCGGCCTGTAGTTCTTCAAGAGAGCGTTGTCGCCTTTCTTGAAGAACGAGACCACCG